AGGACCACCATTGATACTGTCAAGGCCACTGAAGGAGCAGAAGATGGGCAGAGCGTTCTGGACTGCAGGCCTTGGGGAGACAGGTTCCCTGCAGGGAGGCCTGTGTTTGGTTCGAGACAGATTGACCCAAAAATGTTGCCAGTTGCCTGCTGTTTTGCTAGAAGGTTGGGGTGCCCAAGAGAGCCCCTCTAGGCAGTTGTCAGCCATCAGGGGCTGTTGATTCAGAGAAGCGCCTGGGAAGCTGTGTTGGTTGGGTCCTGTGAGGATGCTTAGGGGACTGACATCAGAATCCACCTGGGTCTGGCACCTGCAAGGCATGTGCCCTCGCTGCTGTTCTCTATCCTGACTCCAGCCTTTCCTGTCTGAACACTGAGTTAGGTGGAGCAAAGGGATTGTCTTGGTCTGGGGGTGGATGTGCATCCGTGAGGTCAGAAAGAAACTTGGGGCTCCATGGGGCCAGACCTGGGACAGATGCAGATCTACTATCGGGATGATGAGAACTCAGCCTGTGCTTAATCGTCAGTATGAGGAAAACTAGGTGGTCCAGTGAATTTTTGGCACAGGAGAGGTGCCAGGTGGCTGGCAGAGCGTGTGGATCACAGATCTTGACACTTGTGGCCAAGATTCCCACTCTGCCTTTGTGCTCAGATCAGGCTGTTCTGTCAACCCACCTATGAAAATCAGTGACTTAATCTGGGTCAGTGGGAGGGGCCATGCAGTTTCCTAAGGTGGGGGGCTATTCAGGAACCACCCCCTTTTCTGATCACCAGTCATTCTAGCTTGTGGTCTTCAGCTGGGTCTTAACCAGGAAGCATAGGGTTGATCTGACCCATGCCATCTGGTCACCCATTGGTTTAGGTTTAGTCCTTTTTTTAGGTTTTGGACCACTTTTGCCAGTGCTCAGGGCTTACTCCTGGCAGGCCTCGGGGACCATATGGGATGCCAGCATAGCAAGCACTCTAACCACTAGGCTCTAGTCCCTGGATTAGTTTGTGATTTTTTGGGGGGTCACACCCAGCGATGCTCAGAGCTTACTTACTCCTGGCTCTGCACTCAAAAATCATTCCTGGTGGTGCTTGGGGCACTGTACAGGATGGTGGTGATCAAACCCAAATTGGCAAACACCCTACCCACTCTACTATTCTTGGTTCTTATTTTAAATGTTTTTAGGGACTGCAGATAGTGCAGGAGATAAGGCACATAAGGCTTTAGCTTATATGTGGCTGCTCTCCCTCCTTGCACCCTCAGCACTTTGATGGGTCACTGAAGCATAGAGCCAGGAATAGCCCTGACAACACAAGTGTGCCCCCATCCCCAATCAACTATCATTTCTAGTTTTGGTTATTGGCATTTTGTCGTTCTGCGACCACACTTCACAAACCCTTTGAACTGTTGCCGGGGGGGTATAGGGGGGTGGGTGGTGGGTGGAGTGGTTCTAATTATTTCCAGCTGTATTTGGAGGTCACTTCTGCTCCGAGCTGTGCTTGTGGGACCATTAGGTGCAGGTATCAACCCTGGGCCTTTGGCATGTGAAACATACAACCAGTCCTTTGTGCTCTCTTCACCCTCCCCCTCCCCCCTTCTTTCTTTTTGCTTTTTGGGTCACACCTGGAGATGCTCAGGAGTCACTCCTGGCTCTGCACTCAGGAATTATTTCAGGCAGTGCACGGGTACCATAATGGATATGCCAGGGATCGAAGGATCGAACTTGGGTTAGCTGAGTGCAAGGCAAACACCCTCCCACTGTACTAGCACCCGCCCTGCCTTCTTTTAAATCAGTTTAGATCACGTGGTTACAGTAGTGTTAAATATGGTGTGGTTGTTTGTTGTTTTGGGCCACACCCAGTACTCTTGATTCTGTGTTCAGGGGTCACTTCTGGTGTTCAGGGAACTGTATGGGATGCTGGGATCCAACCAGGTCTTGTGCTTTCACCCCTCTTCGGTCTCTCCAGCCCCAGCATTTAGGATTTGGATGCACAAAGTTATGGCGTTTTCACCACCTTGAAGTGCCCAAGACCCTCCAGCACTGACCCTCTCTCACCTCATATCTGGGCCTCTTCATCCCTTTCTTCCTCTCCCTCCCACCCTTCCTCTCTGCTTGGGAATTCCAGTGCCCAGCCTAACCCGGAGTTTGTCATTTGATCATCCATTGCCTTGTTTTGCCTGTGTGCCACAGCAAGTAAGCTCATGTATTTGTCCTCTCTCAGATGAATTTCACCATATGATGATGCCTCCAGCTCCATCCAAGGTGCCACAAACTGCAGGATTTCTTTTCTTGGGGGGAGACAGAACAGCAGGGAGGGCACTTTCCTTGTACGCAGCAGACCTGGGTTCAATCCCTGGCATCACAGAGGGTCCTCTGAACCTCACCAGGAGTGGTCCCTGAGCACAGAGCCAGGAGTTAGCCCCCTGAGCACTGCCTGGTATGTTCCAAAAACAACAAAAAGATTCATCTTATAGCCAAATAATAGACCATTGGGTAAATATGCCACAGCCTTTTTAAAAAAATTATTTTTGAGGGGGCTGCTTGGGCCATAACTAGCAGTGCTCAGGAGCAACCACTTGTGGTCCTCAGAGGACCATGTGTGCTGCTCAGGATTTGAATCGGAGTCTTTACCATGCAAGGTGAGTGCCTTAACCCTTAGGTTTTTTCTCCTTCTGTACCACAGCTTTCTTTTTAAAAAAAAAAAAAAAACTTATTTTGGTTTTGGAGGACCATACCCAGTGATGCTCAGAGCTTACTCCTAGATCTGCCCTCAATAATCATTCCTAGTCTTGAGGGACTATATGGAGTCCTGGGAATTGAACTGGGGTCTGTGATGTGCAGGCAAGCACCCTGCCGACTGTGCTCTCTCTCTGGCCAATAGCGTTTTTTTTTTCTTTTTTAACTCCCAGCAATGCTCAGGGGTTATTCCTGGATCTGCACTCAGGAATTACTCCTGGCGGTGCTGAGGGGACCATATGGGATGCCAGGTATCGAACCTGTTAGACCCCCCTGCCCCCCACCTTCTTGGTCCAGCCATCCGTTGTTGGCCATTTGGGTTGTATTAATGCTGCAGTGAACACAGGAGGTGTGAGCCTGGATCTTTTTGCGCTCACAGTTTTGGTGTTCTTTGGGTAGATGCCTAGAAGCAGAATCACTGGGTCCTATGAAAGCTCTGTTCTTTTTGTTTTCGGGTCACATTGGGCAGTGCAGGGGTTATTCCTGGCTCTGCACTCCGGGATCACTCCTAGTGGTGCTTGGGGGAACCATATGGGATGCTGGAAACGAAACCCGGGTTGGCTGGATGTGAGGCTAGTGCCGTCCCTGCTGTACAATCACCCTAGCTTTCGCTCCTCTTTTGAGGTTCCCCACTATTTTCCACAGAGGGTTGACCCGAGGACAGCCCTCCCACAGTGAGGGCTCCTTTCTCACCACCTTCCGCCAGCACTGGTGGTTTCCATGCTTTTCGATATGCACCATTCTCACTGCTGCCTCACTGTCCTTGAGGTTGGCATCTTGCTGTTAAGTGCTGAGGAACACTTTTTATACTGTTTCAGGTGTTACTGGCCATCCTTTTGTCTTTTTGTGGTGAAGTTTCTATTCACATCTCCCCATTTAAAAAATTATTTTTGGGGTGGTGATGCTCAGGGCTTACTCCTGAATCTGCACTCAGGAATTACTCTTGGCAGTGCTTGAGGGACCAGGGATCAAACCCTGCTCAGCCACAAGCAAGGCAAACGCCTTACACTCTTTACTCTGGTCCTTTGCCTCAGATCCATCCCCGCTGATTCCCAAGCTCTGTCTAGACGATCTTCCACCACCCTGGGCCACGTCTCTCACCTCTATCACCCAAAGAGGGGCCCTCTGCCCCTCTCTGCCCACCCAGATGCTCTTCTCTCTCTCCCTCTCACTAGCGTGTCTGTACAGAAACAAACCCATTAGCTTTCACCCCATTCTCTCACCCTCTGGGACTCCCTGCTTGAAAACAGTGATGAAAACAGGATGGCTCCCATTGCATCCCTCACACTGGCGCTCCTCCCTGGGCCCATTATTATGATTTTTGGTTTATTTTCTGGGACACACCCTATAGCGCTCAGAGCTTACCCCTGGCACTGTGTTCAGGGTCACTCCTGGTTGGGATTGGGGGACCACATGGGGTGCTGGGGATCAAACCTGGGTGGGACCTGCCCTTAGCCTTTACTCACTCTGGCCAGAAATAGTACAAATAATGATGGTTCTTAACAAAAAGGGGCATTTAAGCCTTTACTGTGACCAAATACAGATACGAATACTTTATCAACACTTTGGATCCTCATAACCACTTAAGGGCTCACTATGTTTCCACACTTCAGGAACATATACATCATACACAACTACTGGTGAGTGAGGACACAGTGAGTGAATTAAAGTAAGAGGCGAGTGAAAAGAGGCTGGAGGGGGTGCACAGCGGCGGGTGGTGCCTGGGTGATGGAGCGCGATGGGCCTGCATCACAATTTAGAAACTCCCTGGGTGCCTGGAACTTGCTCAAGCGCCTAATCTGCAAGTGACTTTCACTCCCCCGAGCTCGTGTGATACCCGCCCCGCCAAGTTCGGGTTTCTCAGTTCTCTAGGTGTAGTGGATCTTTCTCCTCCATGTCTTCCCTGCCACACCTCCTAAATCGGTTTCTCAGCGGTCCTACTTGGTTCCCCTAGATTCTCAATACAGCCCCGCCCCCTCACGCTCCTGAGTCTCCCCCAGTACTAGGGTGGTATGTGCCGGCCAGGCCCCCACCACACGGTTGGTTGACACATACCACGCCCCCGTGACAGTTGCCTCTCCGTACACGCCCCTTCACCACGCAGTTGGCCAGCTCCGGCCACGCCTCCATCGACGCTTTAGGCATTATGGCCACGCCCCCAGCGGCACCTCGGCACCCAGCCACGCCCCCTAACGACTTTTCGGTGCTTCGGCCACGCCCCCAACGACTCCTCGGCACTCAGACCATGCCTCATGACGACTTTTCGACCACGCCCCCGGACGACTCTTCGGCGCTCCGGCCACGCCCTTTGGCGCACGCGCTTGGTACGCGGCGCTCCCTCCTCGCTCGCCGTAGTGGTTCGGTCCTCTCGTGCGACCCCTCTCCGGCGCCGCGTCCCTAGCTCTTGGTACAGTCCAGCCCGTCTCCCCAAAGCCGTGCATCCGCGCCCCTCAGTCAGTGCAAGCCGCAGCCCTCCGCGCGCGGCTAGTGGCAACCCTCGGCCCGCGCCTGCCATGGTCCGTCCGCGCCGTGCCCCGCACCGCTCAGGCGTTGGGGGCCCCCTTGGGGGTCGTGGCCGCCTACCGCGGCCCCTGACGCTGCGCGCCGTCCGCTCGCGATCCTGGCCCGCCGGCCCCCGGGGCCCGCAGCCACCGCGAATCCGAGCCCGTTCGGCTCCTCCCATGGTGAGCTCCCCGCTCGTTTTCCAGAGTCTTCCACGGCCCCGCCCCCGCGGCCCCTCCCCCGGGTTCGTGTCTTTGTCCGCGGCCCACCCCGCCTCCCCCCATTCGGGGTTCTCCAAAGAAAGCCAAGCCCGGGGGCCAGGTTTCCCCCCCATGGAACCCCCCGGGTGGTACGCGCCGTGCTCTCCCCTTTGTTGTGCGTTCTGGCCGGGGCGGCGGGGTGGGGTACGGAGGCGGGGAGGGCTCAAATTACTGCTGACTCCGCGGCCCGATTTAAACGCGGGTGGGGGGCGGCCGGTGTGTGCACCCATCTTTGCAGTTAGAAAGTTGGGTGACTGGACTAGGAGCTAGGGGCTGGCGGAGGGAGCCGCACCCCCAGGTGTTGCTCTCGGGAATTTGCCGCCCGGGCTGCGCGGGGCCGGGACGCTCAAGACTGATCCCTCCCGACTTGGAGACCCACCGGGATTGCAACTCCGCGGACTTGGCGCGCGCGGCGTGCGCTGTCGCCGCTGCCCTCGCTGAAGTTGGCCCCGAATCTTGGCCGTGGCTCGCAGGCGCTGCTGCGCCCAGCCGCTCTCTTGACTTTTGTTGAGTTAAATTCGGCGGGGGCGGGTCTACACCGATCTCTTGGTGGCTTCCCGACCTGGACACCCTCCCGGAACCGAAATCCGCATCCCCCGCGTTAGTCTCTCGCCGAGAGTGCACCAGCACCTACTGCGAGAGGTGCATTTCGGGGGAGCTCACCCCGCGTATTCCTGCCCCTGATGCGGGTGCGCCACAGTTCCACGTTCCCTAGTTCCCTGTCACCAGCCTATCACATCCCCTTCGAAAGGGTTCAGCGGGCCCGCCCCGTAGAACCAACTTGTTCTGGAGTCTGCGCAGAGTGGAGCATTCGGGTGGTTCTGGTTCTTGAACCGTCTGCTGTGGTCCAGCCCAGCCAGCTCTCACACCTCTGGGCAGGGCACCGCAGGACTGGACTCTTTTGCCAACTGCACTGCCCTCTGAACCTCCATCTCTAGTTCCCCTTGCACAGTGGGTCACCAGCACTGACCATACACCACTCACCTTCTTTCCCCACCGCTGATGTGGGTCTTCTACTTCTTCCTGTCCTGGTCGTTGTCTTCTTAAGGCCCACAATAAAAAACTTCCCCTCCTGGGCTAGAGCTTCCCCGGGTGCTTCATCTGCTGCTCAAAAGCTTCTCCTGAGTCAATAGAGGCACTGTGTGTGGTTGTGTGTGTGTGGTGGTGGTGGTGGTGGGGGTGAGCGGTGATCTTTGGCTTTGCTGCTGTGGGGCTGTTACCTCGCTGGCTTCTTCCCCTTGGCCACTTGCTGGAAGCTTCTGTTTCTGCAGCGGTTCACCGCGAGGGGGGCTGGGAAGCCCCTCTAGGCCAGCACTTTCCTCCCTGCAGCCTGTGGTGGGTGACAGGGACTGGCCAGCGCCATCCCAGAAAGATTGGGGTGGAGGGGAAAGGCAGGGAGTGGCAGGGCCTGGTACTAGCAGCTGACTCCTGATTATGTTGGGGAGGCGGTGGGTGAGATGGCACAGACCCTGGAGGAGGACAGCTCTTAGGGACTCTTCTAGCTCCCAAAAGGTGAGATTGGGAAGGTGGCATCACCTTGGGGTATTTAGACCTGTCAGAAGGTTTGTTCAGGGCAGGAGTTCTGGAAGGTGGGATTTGGGGTTGAGTGTGGGGTTACTGTTGTCCTCGCTTCACGATGCTCCCCTCTCTCTGCAGCAAGGTGCCCGGGTCTTTGGGGCTCTGGGCCCCATTGGGCCGTCCGCACCAGGGCTAGCTCTCGGGGGCCTGGCAGTGGGCGGCCATCGTCTGGGCAGTAAGCTGCTGGCCTGGAGTGGCATCCTGGAGTGGCAGGAGGTGAGCGTCCATAGGCAGGAGAGGTTGCTAAGGGGGGGGCACGCCCATGCACCCCCTCACTCAGCCCCTCCCACTGCAGAAGCGCCGGCCTTATTCGGACTCCACTGCCAAGCTGAGGCGGGTGCTGCCGTGCCAGGCCTATGTGAACCAGGGCGAGAACCTGTGAGTGGGAGGCAGGGTGGGTGGGCGCGGGCCTGGGGCGCCCCTGACTCTCCTCCCCGCAGGGAGACGGACCAGTGGCCGCAGAAGCTGATCATGCAGCTGATCCCACAGCAGCTGCTGGTGAGTGGCCCCCATGTGCTCCCCTGCCTTCCAGCTGAGCACCTTGGCCCTGGCCCTGACCCAGGGTCCCTTGTCACCCGCAGACCACACTGGGCCCCCTGTTCCGCAACTCGCAACTGGCTCAGTTCCACTTCACCAACAGAGAATGTGACTCACTCAAGGGGCTCCGGCGTGTCATGGGCAATGGCTTTGTGAGTGGGGGCCCCTGCAAAGCGCCATGTGGGGGGCAGGGGGGTCCAGAGTCTCCCTAGGAGAGCAGAGCAAGACTCCCTGGCCCAGTCTTCTGGATTCGGTTCCCGCTATAAGGCAGGAGACAGGGGAACCAGGACTCACTCAGTTTCCATGCCTGTTCCCTGGGCTCATGGGGTTCACAGATTTGGGTCCTGGAAGGTGCTGGGGAGCAGGGCGGGGCAACAGGAGGTTCAGTGGGTGCCTGTTGGCCGAGGGGGGGGGGTTGAATGCTCTGTGCAGGGAGTGGGGTACCTGTGCCACCTGAGTTCGTGGCTCAGTACCCCTTATGGGATGCCTTGTGGTCAGTGGCACCCCATAGCTCACCCCTGAGCAGTTGTAGCTGGGCGGCTCCACGAGTCTCCTCAGAAACTTGGGAGTTTCTATACAGACCCCACCTGTGCCCAGCAACAAGAGCTTGTCAGGATTCTCTCCCACAGATGCCTCCCCTGGCTGATGGGGAGCTGTGCCCGGGCCCTGGGGCTCCCCGACCAGCCCTGATCCTTGTCCCCGCCTGCAGGCGGGCTGCATGCTGTTCCCGCACATCTCCCCGTGCGAGGTGCGCGTGCTCATGCTGCTGTACTCGTCCAAGAAGAAGATCTTCATGGGCCTGATCCCCTATGACCAGAGTGGCTTCGTCAACGCCATCCGCCAGGTCATCACCACGCGCAAGCAGGTGCTTCCCCATCCTCGGGGTGGCCGGGCCCTGTCTGTCTGGAGGAGCCAGAGAGGCACTGAGCGGTCCAGGGTGGTGTAGGCGGGTACTGACTGCTGCCCTCTCCCCACCAGGCTGTGGGCCCCGGCGGGGTGCACGCCGGGCCCATCCAGATTGTCAACAATAAGTTCCTGGCATGGAGTGGGGTCATGGAGTGGCAGGAGGTGAGACTTAGGGCCCTGGGGGCTGGGCCCAAGGCGCCTCCCAGCCCTCATGGAACCCCCTTCTCCCCAAAAGCCCAGGCCTGAGCCCAATAGCCGGTCGGAACGGTGGCTGCCGGCACACATTTATGTGAACCAAGGGGAGATCCTGTGAGTCGGGGGCTGGGGGGTGAGGGGTGGGGACGCTGGCTAACCCGGTCCCTGACCCTGTCCCTTGTGCCTGCAGGAGGACTGAGCAGTGGCCTCGGAAGCTGTCCATGCAGCTCATCCCACAGCAGCTGCTGGTGAGTGTGTGGGTGTGGGGTGCCACGGGGTGCGGGTGCTCGAGCAGGGCTGCAGCCTGAGCTTCCCACAGACCACGCTGGTGCCCCTGTTCCGGAGTTCACGCCTGGTGCAGTTCCACTTCACCAAGGATCTGGAGACGCTGAAAAGCCTGTGCCGGGTCATGGACAACGGCTTTGTGAGTGGACACGGCTCCCCTGAGGGCTGCAGGGCCAGAAAGATCTGCCAGTGGGGTCTGGAACATGGCGGGGCCACACCCCCTGGAGGCACAGGCTAGACTAGAGGTGCTGACTCAAGTCTGGGGGGGGGGGCGTCCTTTCTTGCTGGGGCTGTTTATCGGCCTTAGGGTGAGGGCCTGTGCTTCAGAAGCTGTGGTGTTGGTCCCATGCTGGGGGTTGGTCCCCTGTAACCCCAGTACTTTGGCTTGTCTGAACAGCCACAAACTGAACTGGGTCTTCTTTTAAAACGTTAGTTGCGGGGGGGCTGGAGCAGTAGCACAGTGGGTAGGGCATTTGCCTTGCACACGGCCGACCTGGGTTCGATTCCCAGTATCCCTTATGGTCCCCTGATCACCGCAAGGAGTAACCCCTGTGCATGGTCAGGTATGACCCCAAGAAAGAAAAAAAAAAACCCAACTTTGGGGCCAGGGCTGGAACAGTAGTTCAGTGGGGAGGGCATTTGCCTTGCATGCCACATATCTGGGTTCGATCCCCAGCATCCCATATGGTCCCCCAAGGACTGCCAGGAGCAAGTCCTGAGTGCAGAGCCAGGAGTAACCCCTGAATATTGCTGGATATTACCCGAAAAGCAAAATATAAATAAGTAAAATAAAACTTTGGGGCCTAGAGGGACTCAGAACGATGTGTCCACGGTGAAGCAGCTGCCTGAGTCGCAGCCTGGTGCTCTGGTGACCAGGCTTCTGCCTGGGCCCCTGTCACCATGCCCCCATGATGACCCTGGCTCAGCAGGGACCTGGTGGGCTCAGGGTGTCCTGTGCCTTGGGGTGACCCTGGCGTACTGACCGGCTGGCCCCCGCACAGGCGGGCTGCGTGCACTTCCCGTACAAACCCCCGTGCGAACTGCGCGTGCTCATGCTGCTCTACTCGTCCGAGAAGAAGATCTTCATCGGGCTCATCCCGCATGACCAGGGCGGCTTCGTCAGCGGCATTCGCCGCGTCATCGCCAACCAGCAGCAGGTGCTGCAGCGGAACCTGGAGCAGGAGCAGCAGCAGCGCGGGGTGAGCGGGATGGGGTGGAGGTGGGGCTGGGGGCCTCTCTGTGCCACCCTGCTGACTCCTCCCTCCCCACAGATGGGCGGGTAGTGGCCATCCAGGCTGGCCCCTCTAGGAGTCACAGACAAAGCCCCTGTGCAGACTGGTGAGTGGCCCCTGGTCCCCGCCTGAGCCTGTGGGTTCGCCCCGCGGTGTGGGGCCCTGGGAGCTGCTCCAGTGCCCGCCAGCTCCGCCCACTGTGGCCCCCCAGGTCAGAGGCTTCTGAGCAGGGGCCCCCCAGGAGCTGCTGCTGCCCAGCGCGATGGAGGCCATATGCCGAGATGCCTCTGAGGATGGTCCCTTCTCTTCTGCGTTCCCCCAATAAAGTTTTAAATGCCCTTCTGCCCCTGTGATCACTGGCAGACGCCAGGGAGGACAGGCTGGGTGGGCACGGCAGGGCTCCGGGCTGCTCTGCAGCCTACCTTGGTTTCACACCTCTGGCCTCAGGCACTGCCTCTCAGCCCTGGAGCACCACAGGTGTGGCCCAGGTCCTTCCCTCACAGTTAGTTTTCAGGAGAGCAACTCACGGCGGGATCTGACGGTCCAGACCCTTGTCCTTGGAGCACATCTTGGGGTCCCCTAGCGCCTCTGCCTCCATCCGGAGCATGAGGTGGCCTGGCATGGAGAGGCCCCCAGCCCCGCTACCCCCTTGGAAAATGTGGCGAGGCATGGAGAGCAGAGGCCTTTATTGGGGCTTAACCCTCAGAGAACTGGCGGTACAGCCGCTCAAGCTGGGGCTCCAGGTGCAGGCGGAAGGGGATCTCCAGGATGGCTGAGAAGCCTTCTGCCAGTGTGGGGGCCTCAAATTGCTTCCTGTGGCGAGGGACCTTCTGTTAGGCCTCCTGTCCCTGCTGCCTCCCCTCGCCCAACCCATCTTCCTGCCACGGCAGCACCTACCTGTAGCCGAACATGACCACGTCCGACACATGGGCATGTGTTGAACCCGTCATCTCCCGGAACTGCAATGGGGGAAAGAGAGTGAGGAGTGGGGGGACTGCCGGGGAGGTCGGTGGGGAGGAGAGGTGGCATGGGTGCTCACCCGGTTGTTGTGGCGCGCTTGCTCCAGGGTGGCACTGAAGAGGAAACAGCGGCAGGGCACACCTGCGTCCTGGGCACACTTGAGGTACCTGGGTACCGGATGCATCCCACAGGTTAGGCCTGTGAGCTGCACAGCCCCATGGGGACCCAGGGACCCTCGGACCTGGTACCTGGCTCGAGTTGGGACGTCAGGGTTGGTGTTGTCGATGACAACGCGTTTCTTCTGCCTCAGAGCCGCCTCACAGGTGGATACGCAGCGCTGCCAGGAACCCAGTGAATCCTGGGGGGCAGTATTGGGTCCTGAGACTGGGGAGCAGACAGATGCGGGGAGGGGGTGCTGGAGCAGGGGTTTGTTCCTACCCTGTTCACATGGACGTAGCCTGCAGACACGAGGTGCTTCTGGACAAAGGTGGACTTTCCAGCTGGAAAGGGGGTACGCTGTTAGTAGCCACCCCAGGATCCAGAAGGGACTGAGGCTTCTCACGGGAGTCAGGGCAGTCACTCACCCCCTGGGAATCCCACGGCAACCACCACCTCTGGGTCAGCGCTTAGGAGGGAGCTGGACTCAGGGAGGCAGATTGGCCCTGATGGGGACACGGTCCTCTGGGAGGGGCAGACACAAATGAGACCCACACCCCAGCTCTGGGCAAAACCCCATCCCCTGCACTCGGTGCCTCACCGGGTCGAAGGCTGGGAGCTCAAAGGCTGCCGTGGGCCACTTGAGGAAGAATTCCTCCGGTGTGGCGAAGGGCAGGCTGAGGTTGAGGGCAAACTGGAGGGTGGGGAGGCAGAGGTCAGAAAAAGTGGGGGCAAGGGGGCAGGCTCAAGAGTGGGGTGCTCACCAGGCGGTCGGCACAGGAGAAGTCCTTTTTCTTCTGCCCAGGGGCCCAGTTGGCAGGTCTACCGGCAGCATCTGAGGCAGAGGGGCACACATCCCTCAGTGACCCCGGATCAGCGCACAGATCACCACACCCGCCTCCTGTGTCCCTGGCCCTTACCTCCCACGAAGATGCTGTCACTGAGGGATATGGGCACACCCTCATTGGCCTGTGGAGGGGACAGGTAACAGCCGCAGTAAGAAACTGGTTCCTGCCACTCGTCCCCTGGGTGCCAGTTGGTCCGTGCTCTACGCTATCCTGGCAGTCTCTGCGCCTCATGTCCAGTCCAGCCAAATTCTACCCTAGCCTCCATCCAGTTCCCAAGGCCCCTGGGTGGTTCTGGGACCAGCTTTGCCCGCTAATCCCCTGATCACCCACCAGGGGGCATGTCCCCATCTGCCATCCACTAACAGCATTGGACTGAATCCTGCCCCTGAACCTCAGGGGGTCACTGTCACCCCAATCACATGAGTCTCCCCACTGTCCCCAGCCCTCTTCAGTCCTCCCAAGCCAATGTGCACAGCCTGGCTCACCTGTTCTCGCAGATAGTCCCACATGCCGGTCACAGGCTTCCGATACAAGCCCGCGTGTGTGGCCACGAGCACCTGTAGACCGGGAGGCCAGACACTGGATGCTGCCCCCAGCCCACCAGTCCCAGAAGCGCTACTCTAGTCCCATATACCCCCCAGGAGGTGCTGCTGCCTGGACTACTTCATGTGAGAGCCTCAAAACCCCTCCTCCTGATATGGTGCTAAGTTCTCCAGGGGGCAGCCCCGCCCTGTCTTGGGGTCCCTCGCCCCACTGTACCTGAAACGGGACCCCAAGCTTCTCCAGCACTGCCTCCACCTTGCCCTTGAACTCCTCTGCGGACAGCTTCCCACGGCCGATGCCCATCTGGTTGGTGAAGATCACCAGCTGGGGAGCAAACAGGGGTCATGGGGCCCTCTTCCCTGGGGCCAGCCCCCTCTTGGCCACCCCACACCCACCTTGTAACCATCAGCCTGCAGCTCCCGAAGTTTCTTTGGAATCTCGGGATACAGGATCCTGCAGCCGTGGGGCAGTGGCAGGTGACGTGGGGTCCAGGGCTGGTGGCCAAACCCTGCTGCTGCCCGCCCCCTGGCTGCTCACCTCCAGTCAGTGGGGCCCGAGGGAAAGACCTTCCCACTGCGGGTGCAGATGAGTGTCCCGTCCAGATCAAAGGCGGCCACCTGGTGGTACCCAAGAGAGGAGGATAGCACTGTGGTCACATCTGCCCCCGCACAGGGCCCGCAAGGGAAATTGAGCCAGTGCCTACATCAGCTCTAAGGTCCAGCAGGAGATGGCCCCCAGCTCATGCTGCAGAACCTACATCCAACTCGCTGCCTCCCTTCAGGCTTCCTTTGCCCAGCAGGAGTTTCGGTTGCTGACCCCTCAGTCCCTGCATGACCAGCTGCAACAGGTTCTGGAGCCGGAAGGCCTGGGTTTGATTCCCACCACCTCACAGCTCCTGGGTGCTCCTGGGTGTGTGTGCCCCCCAAACTGACAAAGCCAAAGCAAACTACTCCAGCCAACAAGCAAACAGAAATAGGAACGAGGCTCTCCTTGGGTGTGCACTGTGCTGGGGAGAGAAATGGGCTCCACAGGCAAAAAACAGGAGTGCCGCGCAGTATGTCTGTCCAAGAAGCATGGCCGGGGTCCTGCCTCAGGCCCCCAACTGATCATCAGGTTCCCTTCTCAAAAGGGTAAGTGGAGGGTACTAGAGGCCATCAGACCTGTCAGGAGAGCACCAGCGGGGACGAATTCCGGTTGCCTTGGGGTTCCCTCACCTTGTCTCGGGCTGTCACACCGGGGGCTGTGAACACCAGCAGCTTCTCCAGACTCTCCCAGCCCGGAGATGCCTTCCGCACGCGCTTATTCGGCTGCTCGATGTTCTCCTCTGGGGCTGCTGGCGGGGTGCCCGGCGGAGTGTCGGGCTGGGATCCGTCTGGGGGCCTCTCTTCCCAGCGTAGGGTCAGGGGATAGAGGCCGTTGACCAAATACAACGTGTCCCCCACCCCCAAAGAGCCCTGTAATTCTGGTTTCAGCTCTTGCGTCCCAGCAGTTGAAGGGTTGACTCCCAGCTGCAGAGAAAGGAGAAGCTGGCACTGACTCTGCCCTCCCTAGTGGCCTCCTCCAATCAGGTATCCCTACCGCCTGCCAATCAGACCACTTAGCCTCGCCTCCTCACTGAGGGCCACCAATCAGCTTTAGAAAAGTTAACAGGCGTCTTTTCCAATTGAAATAGGCTCCTTAGAATTAAATGAAACTTCAGAGCTCTACTGGCCACTCCCATTTTCCCCGGGGATAGTGTTTTGCTCCCAGACCGGTGTATTGCCGCCCCTGGCTAAGGCCCAGGTACCTGCTTCACGGCCACGGTCCGGGTCTCCAGGTCTGCAAGCAGCTCCACTGAGGGGCGAGGGGATGGAGTCAGGATTGATAACCCTTTTTGGTGTCGTCTCCCTCAATACTGAAGCTCAGTCCCAGGAAGGGGCTATAACACTCATTTGAGAAGGGGCCGCAGTTTATCTCTAAGCGGGGACGGCTCACTCCCTGACATGCCAAATGAAAGCCTCCAGACTATGACGCTGTGGTTCGCCCAAGGCACTGGGGCCCTTTTCCATGCTTTAGAACGCGGAAGTGGCCTTAGATATAGGAGATACAGGTCTGGGCGTGGCCCACCATGCTCCTATACAATTTTCCTTCATGGGATCGGCTGTATCTCTGACCAGGTTCTTGTCCTGCCTGTGAGTATCCACTGTCTCGGGATTGGTTCACTTCCTTCCCACACTAGGGTCTGGCTAGTCCTAGATCTGGCACTGCCTTTTTCTTTCTGCGCTAGCCAGAGGATGCCTATCAATCTCATGACCGGCTCACCCACACAATTCACCGATAGCCAAGTAGGTCTCCTACTGGCCCGACACGACGCTTTCTGGATCAACCAAGTCCGAGGGGCCGGGTTCCCGCGCCTTGAAGGCCACATATTCTCCGTCTAAAGGCCTGCCCACCTTGGTTTCTCGAACACTTCCGGTCGGTAACTTGGGTCAGGGGTCCCCGGCCCAGGACCAAGGCTTTCCCGTCCAAGGGCAGGAAGATAGGAGGCGCTCCTCCAGAGGGGCTCTCCAGCCACAGACGGCCTTGGGCCTCTGCCTTGGCCATTCTGGCCGCCCTAAGAGAAAGGAGATAAATAGATTTTGAGTAGCAGGTCGCCAGCAGCGGGCGCCAGAAAAACCCGCCTTCTCAAGGATTCCCGACGTTCGCTAGGAAGTCTCATCCACTCGCCGGCCTCAAACTCCGCCGTCTCCCAGGCTACGGTGCCGCTCCTTCCTTCGGGTAGATCGGGCCCTCACGGGCTTTTCAGGGTCCTGATCGAGACTCTAACGCTCTCCCTCCCCGGCCACCCAGGCTCACCCGTGCCAGCCGCTCGCGCTCTCTCGTCCTAAAACACCCAGGAAGTCCTGCCTGAGGCTCCCTGGCCGAAGGACTACTGTTTCTGGGCGAGCGGAAGTGACTCGGAATCCCGGGGGCGGGGCTTCCGAGGGGAGGCCCCGCCCCTCCCCGAGCCTGGCTTTAGGTCCTGGGCTTCTCCGCCCTCCCTCTCTCCCGTTGCAATGGGAGACACAGGCCAGCAGGGGCGGAGGTTCTATGTATACAGGTATTTCTCTTTTAAGGTTCAACTCTGATTAGCTTCCCTGGAGGTTTATCAGGTGGAGAAATGCCCGACCCCGATAACACCTAGTGCTCTGATTTTGCCAGGTGGGAACAATCGTTTCCACCTCGGGATCGTTGGAAGATTAGACGATAACGCTAATACGAGTAGGTAACATGAAAGTGAGAGATGGTTGGGGCTGGAGCGATAGTACAATGGGCAGGGCGCTTGTCTTGCACGCGGCCACCCGGGTTCGATCCCAGGCACCACGTATGCGCCGCGTCCCCGCAAGCCCTACCTGAAGTGATCCCTGAACACAGAGCAAGGAATAAGCACTGAGTACCATCAGGTGTGGCCCCCAAATAAAGGCAAACAAAAATTGCCCCTACTGATAGCACTCCCCAGGAGGTGAAGGAAGTGTGAGAACCCTTGTTTACTTGAGTCTTAACTCCTGAGGCTGGAGTTACGTGGCTTTCTTTCCTAGTGACAAGATGAATTCTCTAGTGATCATCCTGATTCCAACACACACACACACCCCGACGACTGACTCCACAGTCACATAGGACTCTATACCAGAGAAGGTTCTACTTCGCACCCCCTCTAAAACCCGAGCAGTATTTCCAACTTCTGGCTCTGCACTGAGAAACCAATGAGACCGTGCGCCGCAGGAAGTTCGTTGAGTGAAGACCCCAACACAACTCACTCCTTTATCAGAGGTAAAACTCTTTAATCTCCGTGAGCCCCTCCCAACTCTAGGCTCCCACCAACCACTCTCTCCCGCGCCAGGGCCAGAGAGTGAGAGAGCCCTTGACCCCACCTTGGGTGGACGAGAGCCCTGTAAGGCACCTGTACGGTAGAACAAGAGAGGAGCAGGAGCTGGTACCGTCCTGATGCGAGGACGGTCTTCGATTGGCAGGCTTTTCTGGGATGGAACCAATGAGAGGGGTCAAGGATGGACCGAGCCATCCCTGGGGGGCCAAAGGGCAAATTATCAGGACCGGGTCCAAATATACGACCGCAGCCCCAGTAGTGTACAGAAACGTAATCTTAAGGCCACAGGCCAATCCTGGGAATACGAGAAGGGTTTGGCCACGCCCCAGGGGGCGGGAACCAACCAGGCGGGAGCGCTCGGGGCTGATGGTGAGTCTCAGAGATTGGTTAAGCCCTTTGGTTCGAGCCAATCGGATGAGGCGGTCGCCCAATCTCTGAGCGGAAGTGGCGGCCCACTGCCCAATCCCGGAGCTGGGCTGCTCTCCCGTGGCAGCCAATGCCGTGCTAGCAAAAGTCCTTGTCGCTAGGCAGAACGGGACGCAGCTGACCCAGTGAAGGTTTAGAACTCGCCGCGCCCTGCGGAAGGCCAGTCCCTGCATGAAGACGCTGTCGCTGGTCCGGGTGATCGGCGACAGGCCCAGTCGGGGAACCGTTAGGCTCGCTCGCTCGTGGGGGATGTAAAAACAGCAGGGACTGAGGGCACGGGGACACGCGGGAAGCCGGCCGCGGGCCGGGCTCGGATTGGCGGGCCCCGGGGGCGCGGCGGGGGTGGGGTGCGGATCGGGCCGGGCCAGGCAGAGCACCCGCCCGGAGGGGCCTCAGTATTTCCGCTTCAGCTTCTGGAAGTCGCTGGTGTTGAGCCGCGGGCGCGGCAGGTCCCCGAACAGCTGCGTGTCTTCGGCCTCTCGCAGCACCAGCGCGCGCATGCTCGCCGCGATACGGTCCAGGTCCGGCGAGGAGGGCTGCTGGGGCAATGATACGTCACGGGGTCATCGCACTGCACCCACCCCACGGTCGGCGCCCCACACTTGTCCCGGACGCCCTCTGCCCTGGCCACCTCCTCTCGAAAGCCCTCCAGTCCTCGACTCTCCCCTTCTTTGTCTGACAGCCCTTGAGTGCCTTCTCTCACCGCACTTAGTGATCAAAGGTGTCCTAGTGTCAGAACAGGGGACCACGATGGGCAGCCGTGATGGCTCAAAAAAGGTGATCTGGGGGCTGCAGTAGATCCAGTTTGGATCCCCGGTACCCCACAGGATTCCCAAACACCACCAGGAGTAATTTCTGAGCATCGCTGGGTATGGCCCCCAAAATAAAACAAACAAAAAGCAGAAAAAAAAAATAAAAAAGCAGCCTCTCAGATACACGGTATGTGGTGCAGCACCAGAAGGATGGCCACCACCTGTGACTGCTCCCAGGGGCATGCTCCTGCTGCTCCATGTCAGCACCTCACCCAGCAGAATGTCGAATCCACCAACAGAAGCTGGAGCAGCCCAAGGCCTGCATCCTGATGAGCCCCTGCCCAGGGATTGAGCAGGACTCCCAAGTGCCCTGGATACCATAGGCCTCTGGGCTTTCTTGTCACCCTGAGCTTCTCACAAGGAAACCGCATCTCAGCCCTTGTCCCCCTCAGTGGGTGAGCACACACTAGGATGCTGAGTGCCTCAGTGTCCTCATTGCTTCAGGGAGCTTGAGTGACAGACTCAAGGAAGCCCAAGAAATCCACATAGAGGATCATGTGACAAGAAGAGAAGTGGGGAGAGGAAAAAAGGGGGGGGGGCAGAGCAAAGTACAGCAGATTGGGCACTTGCTTTGCAAGTGACTGACCCAGGATTGATTCTCGGCATCCCATATGGTTCTCTGAATCTGCCAGGAGTGATTCCTGATTGCAGAGCCAGGAGTAAGCCCTGAGCATCACTGCATGTGGTCCTCAAACAAATATTAAAAAAAAAAAAGGATCTGAGACTGGGACAAATTCTAGTTTGGGCCGGAGATATGTGGGGCCCAGTTAGATAGCAACATGACCCCTAGGAGCTGTTTCCCATCTGGAGAGGATGCCTCTGGCCCCGACAGGGCTGAGACCCTGACAGAGCTGAAGCTGCAGGGTTAAAACCTGCCTAGGGAGGTGGGCCAGGGGTGAATTTGGCGAAACCCGGTATGCAGGCCTGAGGGCTTCCTGAAGGAGGTGGCTGTGTATCCTTCCCTGCCCTCCTGCTTTCTCGCCATCTGCCTGCCCCTCACCGGCTCATTCTCCTCATCTGATGACCGTGCTTCTGTCCTCTTCTCCTTGAAGGCCCAGACGGGCACGGACACGGGCAGGGACTTGGCATACTGCTGGGTAGGTAGGGTTGCGGCCGGGGGCACTGAGCAGGCTGCGGGACCGGCGGGCGCCTCCTCACTCAGGCTACCATCTGAGAGAGAGGGCGGCTGTGAGTGCTGTGTGGTGGTGCCCATGGGGGCAGGGATGGCCATAGGCACTCACCATCCGTGCTCTCGGGGTCTGAGTCGCAGAAGGGTGGCAGGTCCTGCAGGGTGGCGTCCTCGTCCATCACAAAGAGCCCTGGGAGGATGTGAGAAGCCAGTGGGATCCCGGCTGTGCTCTGGCTCCTGCTCCAGCCCTGGGCCCTGCTCTTGACCTGCTGGGATCATCTGCTGGGTCACAAATGCCCTCAGCAGGCAGGAAGGAGCACAGCGCCCGTCCCTTATGCTCTTTGGGTCAGAGAAGGGCAGTGTAACCCTGGGTGAGTTGGGACACGCTGGGGCTGTGGTGCCAACCGTTCAGTCCTGGTTGGAGTCCCAACACCACAAAGGGACCCCTCAGCACCACCAGGGGGCTCTCCTGAGCACAGAGCCAGGAATGCCCCCTGGAGCAGCACTGGGTGTGGCCCCAAACCTACAAAGACAAACACCTGAGATCTGTGAGATCTGTTTGGCAGGAGCCGAGGGGATGAGGGGATGGTTCAAAGGGCTGGAGTTCATGGCTGGCATGCAGGAGGCCAGACCCCCAAACAACAGGCCCAGACTCGCCCCTCAGCACACTGGGTGTAGCTCTAAAACAAAAACACAAACACGGACAACAGAAAAATCCAATGAAAGAGCCAGGGATGAGTTGGACCTGTCTGACAATGGGCATAGGCTGCAGAGAGAAATGAGGTGGTTAAGAAGTTAACTTGGCCTATCAGCTGGGTTTGAACCACCTGGGTTTGAGCCACCTGGCTCTGGGGCCTGTGCCCGCTGCCCACCCCCCCACCAAGTTGACTCCAGCAAGTGAGAAAGCCAGACTGGTCCCAACTATCAAGACTGACCAAGTCCTACTTATTAAGCCTGCTTGAAAACTCCTACTTACTCCTCAAAGCCCTAAGGTTCCAGGCCCATATGAGGAAGCATCAACCCCCAGACCAGACACCTCCCTACCCTGACCACCCCAGCCCTCCACTGTACTCTGCAGCCCTGATTCCTCTTGAATTGCATCTTTGTTCTTCCAGGTGTCAGGCTCTGACTCCTGAGAAGCCAGAAGAACCACTGCCCCCAACACCCTCAGCCGGACTAAGAGTCCCTCATGAAAGCACCTGAGTAGCATTCGTGAACACAGAGTGGGACCCCAGAAACTGTGGAAGGAAGCTGAGGCTCAGAGGGAACAAGAAACTTGCTAAGGTCACACAGCAACTCTCCGCAAGGCCCTGGGGCCAGCGCAGCACAGCCCAGCTCTGCCCCTCACCTCCATTGTCGCTGGTGCCCAGCCGCTCCCCAGAGGTCTCTGTCTCAGTCGCCTCCTCCTCCACGTCATCGTCCTTGGGCAGGGCTGGCCGGGGTGGGCTGTGGGCAGGGCTGGGCAACTCTGGTGGCGGTGGGGGGCCGGGGGGCCTCGCGGCAGTGGCCACCCGGTGAGCCTGGGCGATGTCGTGGAGGCAGTGGCGGGCAGCTTCTGCCAGGGCCCCGCGCCCGTGGGCAGCATAGGCGCAGGGCCCTGGCCGGGGCGGTGGCGGGGGCGCGGCCGTCAGCAGCACCAGCTCCGTGCCCGTCCGTGCCCTGAAGCGCTCGGCGGCCCCCACCACCGCCTCCCACAGCTCCTCGGGGCGCCCCGACGCCATCCGAGCCCTGTGGGGGAGAGGAGAGGGGTTGAGGGCTGGCACCTGCTCTGCCCACCTGCCCCTTGCCTCCTGCTGGCTGCAGGCGCCACTCCCTGCCACCTGTCCTCCTTGGCCCGGCCACTCCCCATCACCCCCACAGCCCACTGCTTCCCCAGAGACAGACACCTTGGGGGCTCGTCCTGCCCCCTCTGCCCCTGGGGAGCCAGCAGCAACTTGAACAGCGTCTCCGGCAGCTGGAGGGAGAGGAGTGTAGGAGGCCCCCAGAGAGCTCAGAGAGGAAGCCATAGTCATTCTGAGCAGGACATGGTGCCCCCAGATCTGTCCCCGACCAAAAAATAAATAACAGTGAATTTAACTCTTCTGAGCAAGCTGATGTTGATTCCGAGCCCAAACGCTGACTTCTGGGGAACTACTCCCAGGGGCACTAGGGGGTCCACGAGGTGCCCGGGATGGGACTCCAGGCCTCACATGGGCCAGAGAACCTCCAGATGGCCCCTCCCAAAAAAGACCCCAAAGATCCGGAAGTGGGGGGTTGTGGCATCTGGCCCTGTCCACCGCTGTCCTAGGCACCTGGCTTGTCCTCCTGCCCCCGGTGTTCCTGGGGGTGCCAGCAGCTCCTCTAACCAAGGCGGCACAGTATCTGAAAGCCCCCCACTCCGGTGGTCTTGCCGGGGAGGGTGGTCCCAGTCCACCCCAAGCTGACCGCCTCACCCTGCAGACGCTAAGTAGCACCGCTCACAGCTCTGCACCTGGACCCCAGCCAGCTCCGTGATCCAATCCGCCCAGCTCACTCTGGAGCTAGGCTTAAATCCCCAGCTCCTGATACAGATCAAATGCCTGGCCTGGGCCTTCGGCGCCCTGGGCTACCTACATCCCAGCCCAGGTCATGGGAGCAATGGCCCAGGCTTGTCCCCCCCCACCCCGAGCCCCGCCCCTCCATAGGGAGATGCCCCAGGGGCTGTGCCTGATCTCCAATCTGCTGTGTGACCTTGGGTCACTCACTTGCCCTCTCTGTTCCTCATGCTCTTTCCCCTGAAAGGAGATTAGAATGGCTAAAGCAGAGCTGCCTCAGGGAGGTAGCAGGCCCCTCATCAACGGGGGGTTTCAAGCTGTGTCTGGTTCCTGGTAAGAGAGGCCGGATTTGTTTGTGAAAGCCTTGGGTAACTCAGGAGACAGCCCAGCATTTGCACGCTCTATGTAGAGACTCACACCGACTAAGTCCTGGCCATCTGCACTGTGACCACACCAGTCCCCATGGCAAGCGCCAATCACCCACTTTCTCACTGAGAAGCACTGGGTTTTGATGGGGCTGGGGGACCTTGTGGGGGCAGACTGGGAGATGCCACTGTTCTGGGGGAGTTCTGTGGCCGCCTTGCCCAGGTCTGGAGTGCAGAGGAGCAGAGATGGGGGAGTCTGCATGGGGTAAGGCACTGGCCTCATGCACTGCCCATCCCAGCCCAGTCCCCAGCACCACACAGGGTCCCCCCAGCCCTGTCACGAAAGCACAGAGCTGGGGGTAAACTGGCCCCCCCAACAAAACCAGTTGTTTGCCTGTTCACAGGTTCCCTCCATTGCTGCTCAGGTCACCCCCATGTCGTGGAGAGGGAAACAGAAGCTCAAAGCCAGGAAATGACTGCTCCAAGGACACAAGGGACCCCACAGCCAGGGGTGCTCACTTCCGGGGGAGGGGGGAGGCGGTCACCAGGATTCAGCTATCTCCAGCGACAATCAGTCACAAGGCTAGAATGGGTGACACTGGATTTTAAGGTGTTCAACCATCAAAGCAGAAGCTGGGCAAAATGGCAGTGGTGGCTCTCACAGGCCTCTAATAGGGCCTGGGTTTGGGGCCATCCTAAGCTCAAATGTCAAATGCTGGCTGGCAGGCTGGGAGCTGGGGCTCTGAGGTACTGGGTCAGAATACGGGGGGCAGGCATGTTGGGTGGTTTCCTGCCCCTAGGGCTCTCTGGCCTCGGTGACCCAACCTGAAGACTCCATAGTGAAGACCTGGGGTGTCTCTGGCTCCTTTAGCAGTACAAGAGGCCCTGCCCTAACCAAGGCAGAGAGCCTGAGGATCGCCCTGACCACATGGGAGAGATAGGCAGGGGAGCCTTGATCCTCGCAAGAGCGGGGAGACGCTGCAGGCCTCTCAGGATAAGATGAACAATGCCAGGCTCCCCCCAGGTATAGAGGCTAGTGCCCGGTGCATGCCCTGACAACCACCTGTCAAAGAGCAAAGCGCCCCCTGCCTGTAGGCCGGTGCAACCCCGGGCAAGCTGCACGATGGGGGTCTGTTTCAATGGCTCCGGGACCCCCAGCCCCATGCACACCTCGTCCAAGACTTCTGCAAAGATTCAAGGCTCCAAGAAGAAAACAGGAAATCCCGCCCAGACGGGGGCCAGGGCCGGAAGTCCCGCCTTTACACGGGGTTGGGGGCGCCCCGAGGGCCCCCGAGCAAATCTCCGACCCTGTGGACGTGGTCCACGGCCAAGGTAAGGATGTCAGTGGGTCTGGAGGCCTGAGGGTCAAGCTGTCTAGGCTCTGCCTTCGCTCAGACACGACAGTTCCCGCGGAGAACCCCTTTCCAGCGTTCAGCGCGGGGTTGCCGCACAATTGTGCCCACAGATCTATTCAGGACACTGCCCTCCCGATAATGGCTAGCCCTTCCAGCGCCCCTCTTCCCTCCACGGCCAAATTCTCCCCACACCGCGCTTCACAACGCCGCCTCCACTCACGTGCCCGTAGCCAGCATGGCCGGCCGGGTGCCGTCGCCGCCCTCAAGTGACATGGCGGCGCCTGACGTCACGTCCGCGCGGTCGGCCCACCTCCACTAGGCAAGCTCCGCCCCCTACCCCGAGCGCCCGGGATCTAGATGGCGGCTACGGGAACTTCCTCCCCATGGTAGTGGGCCAATGGCGAGGGGCCAACGGGCGCCCACAAGAAAGATGGTGAAGAAAAGGTTTCAACCTGTTCGGACTTAAGCTTAAATCATTTAAATTTGCCCCCAAGTAATATGGCAGCCCGCATTCAGGACACAGTGAATAAAGACACGGCAGACACGGCACCTGACGTCCCTCATCCATAGTCTCTTTCGCATAGTTAAGGAAAGAAATGTCCTTTAGCGCCCTGCGGCCAAACTGGTATGAATTTCTCATAATGCATATGGCCCTCCCTCCAACCTTGTCCCCTTCAGCACCGTGACGGGCAAAGATTAAATATGGCAGCCTTCGGGCCGGAGCAATAGTACAGCGGGTAGGGCGTTTGCCTTGCACGCGGCCGACCCGTGTCGATCCCCGACATCCGAGCACCGCCAGGAGTAAGCCCAAGCAAGCCCGGGTGTGACCTAAAGTGACCAAAAAAAAAAAAAAAAAGCAGCCTTTCTTCTTGGGTTTGCCAATTGGACCGCTTTCTCTGCACGTGACTCAGTGAGTTGGTCTGGCACTGTTTCTTTCCTGGGGACACCGAGGCCCTCAGGTGTCCTCTCACCTTTTCCTCTATCTGTGTGTCTTCCAAGAGCTCGCTGGCGCGCCCCGCAGAAGAGTAAGTTTGCCCCTTATTAACATGGCCGCCATAGGCCGGCCTTCGCTGTGCCCTCGAGAAAAATGGCATCTCTTTAGCTTCGCTGCCAGAGGGAGGGAGGAGCGACCTGAAGAATGGGGGGGGTTGAACTTGTGGGCCCCGCCCCCTTGTTTACGGCTCGGCCCGCCGGGACGCACTGCGCCTGCGCGCGCTCGCCCGCCCGCCGGCTCCGCCTTTATCGCGTCGCGGCGTGACAGATTCTCGTGGTTCAAGTTCACCCACCCTATCCTGAAAAATGGTCACACCCACTGCCGCGCTAGCACTGCGGGGGACGCTACCACTGCCGCGAATCGAGGAGTTTCTTCTTCCCGGATGTGACAACATGTTGACCCGGAAAAGGAGGACGCTGGGGAATTGGGTCCTCGGCCGCGGCTATGGAGGGAGCCGGCTACAGGGTAAGCTTCGGGGACACATTCTTTTGCCTTTCTCTGAGCGAGATGGTCCCCCTCCTCTGGCTAGATTTTCTTTTAGCCCGTGCCGGGCTCTGGGATCCCGGGGAGCCTTAGAAAACACACCATGGCATGATTACTGCGCTGTCACTCTCCTTCGTGGTTCTTGGGAAAAGGTCTGGACTTCAGGCCCCGCCCCCGGGCGGCTGAGACGCTCCCTTGGGCCCCGCCCCCTTGCAGTGTCAACTGACCCCTCGTTTCTTCGTTCCTTCTCCCCAGTCCCGGGACTCCCGGCGGAGAGTTTACTTCGATCCGCCTGCCCCGCCCCTTGTTGTGGTCCCGCCCCTGGCCCGCGCCCATTGGCTCCCTCCGGGGCCCCGCCTCTCACCGCTTTCTCTTGGCAGGTTGTGTTCGAGAAGGTGGGCGTGTACCTCCACACTAGTGCCAAGAAGCATCAGGACCCCGACTCCCTCATCGCTGGGGTCATTCGTGTGGTGGAGAAGGTAGGCCAGGAGGACGCAGCATCAGGAGGCTGGAGATGGACGGTGGGATGGGGGCTGGGCTGGGGACATGCGAATGCGTGCGAGTTTCCAGCTGAAGCTCTGGCTGGGGGTTTGTGTATAGGAGTGCCCTTCTGACACCCACCTCTCCCCAGGACAATGACGTCCTCCTCCACTGGGCCCCTGTGGAGGAGGCCGGTGACTCCAGCCAGATCTTCTTCTCCAAGAAGGTAGGATACACCCTTACATGCGCCTCCCAGGTCAGAAAGCAGGCAGGCCTTGTTCTTGGGATATGCCCTGGTTGGGATCTCGGGCTGTCACTCTGTCAGCAGTGGGGATGGAGGTGCCCACTCCGGAAAGAAGCCAGATATCTGGAAGGCAGCCTCCTCGACCCACCACAGCCTACTTGGCCCACCACCTGACTTTGGGTGCTCTGGCAGGGTGCAGGGCACAGCTCAGCCTGTGGAGATGGGATTCCCAAACTTGCCCATGAGTGCACCAGGGGATCTGGAGTTCCCTCGGCGTGGCTGTGGTGGGCAGAGAGGGAAGAGGGGGTAACAGGGCCCCCCTCCCCCACAGGCCCCACATTGCCCTGTGACTTCTAGCGCTTCTGGTGGTCATGGTTGGTGCTGACTGGCCCTGAGCTCCAGAGGTGGCCCAGGATAATGGAGCCTCAGCCAGTTTTGTGCCTGCACTGTGCCTCAGTTTTTCTCTTTTGAATTCAATAAGGCTTTGTTCCAGGGAGGCCTTTGGGCTCCAAGCTAGCAGCTGGAGCTGCAGCCCCTCATTCTTCTCTCCTTTCTTTCCTGCAGGACCCAAATGGGGGTGATTCCTGCCCACCTGAGGAGGAGCCCACCTTTGACCCTGGCTACGAGCCTGACTGGGCCGTCATCAGCACTGTACGCCCCAGGTCCCGCAGCACCAATCCCACGAGAGGTAAGACTGGGGGCAGGGCTCGGAGATGCCCCTCACCCCAGGCTTCCGGCCACTCTCATTTGCTGCCCAAGTCAAGATGGCCCTGACCTTCCAGTCCCAGAGTTACATGAGGACACAGCTATCGCCAGCTGGGGTGCAGGCACATGGCTCCAGACCTGGTGCGCAACAGTGGATTGGCCTGCAGGAAGGGGTGGTCTCCAAGCTCGCATCTCTGGGACCAGGAGGGCCCCACAGGCCTTGGACAAGTCGGTGCTGCCCTGGAGCTGACAGGGGTCTGGGGTGGGACTGAGCCGAGCAGGCGTAGGGGTCCTAGAGTGAGGCCTGTGGTCCCAGCTTGAGGGGTCTTGGTGAGACTTTGGAGCGTGTGCAGGGACCCCACTAGCTCCTCCCACTTTCGTTGGTTGTGTTGGCCAGCCGGTGGGGGTGACCCAGTGAGGTTCCCAGGGCCTCGCATTCAGGGTGTCCTGGCCGCCCCCCATTCTGCACCATCTTTCTTCCCAGGTGCAGAGCCCAACCCTCCGCGGGACTCCTGGGCCTTCTCGGTGAGCCTGGGGGAGCTCAAGTCCATCCGCCGCTCCAGGCCGGGTCTAGGCTGGGCCTACCTGGTGCTGGTGACCCAGGCTGGGGGCTCCCTCCCAGCCCTCCACTTCCACCGCGGCGGCACCCGCGATCTGCTCCGCGTGCTCAACCGCTACCTGCTGCTTGCCAAGTGAGTCCTCACCTTCCACAACAGCTGCCTGCCAGGCTTTGAGGAAGCCCAGGGCAGACCGACCCAGAGGCTCTGCCAACCATAGGGCAGAGCACATGGATTCCAGGCTTCTCCTATTCCTGGGGTATCTGAGAAACCAGCTATTCCCTCTCCATGCACCTCATTGAGGGGGCCTGCGGGGCTCCCAACTGTCTGTGCTTAGCAGTCACCGGGGAGGGAAAGGACCCCCACTTTCCTGCAGTCTCCCAGAGCTCTTGGTGGTTCATCCCTTGGCTAAGGGAATGAGGAACCCCCTCCCCCTCTTGGCTATCCCGAGTCCCAGGCCACCCCAGGGTTTGGCTGTGTCCCCAGCATGCCTGGAACGCCTGTCTTGCTGATGCATAATCTTGAGTTTGAATGCTCTGCATCCCATGTGCGCCCAGCACAGTCCCGACAGCCTGGCTGGCTGTGCTCCCGGGTGCCCTGAAGATAAACAAGGCTTCTGGGCTGGGAAGGTGGCAGGTTGGGGGGCTACTCAGCGAAGCCCCTCGGCCCCAGTTCCCCGCAGGACTCCCGCCTCTACCTCGTCTTCCCGCACGACTCCTCAGCACTCTCCAGCTCCTTCCACCAGCTGCAGCTCTTTGACCTGGACAGCTCCAATGTGGTGTCGGTGAGCTGAGCGGCGGCGAAGGGGGGTCGGAGGTGGAGGGGGTGACAGAGGCCTGGGGAGGTGTGTGTCGTTGGGCATCAGTACATGCTGCAAGGGGAGCCCTGACACCTGGCTGTGCCCACAGCGCTTCTTCCAGGACCCCTACTCCACCACTTTCAGCAGCTTCTCCCGTGTGACCAACTTCTTTCGGGGCGCCCTGCAGCCACACCCCGAGGGGGCCTCACCAGACCTTCCTCCACCCCCTGATGACGAGCCAGAGCCCGGCTTTGAGGTCATTTCCTGTGTGAGTATGGGTGGTCCGAGTTCTGCTCTTTGGCTGCTCTCCCTGGACCAGTAACTGCATTTCCGCATCTCAGTTCTTCTTGGAAAGTGGGGTCACCTCCAAATTTTTCGAGTATTCGTCTCCTTTGTTATTCAGAGTTCTTCCTCGGGAGGGGGACACTTGCTTGGGACCCCCTGAGGATACACTTGACTGCTCTCAAGTTGTTGGTGGAGCCAGGTGCGCCCCGGGGTCCCTGGGCTCACTCGCCTACCCTTGCAGGTGGAGCTGGGCCCGAGGCCAACTGTGGTGAGGGCATCTCCTGTCACCGAGGAGGAGTGGGCCCGTCATGTGGGCACTGAAGGCCGCCTACAGCAGATCCCTGAGTTGAAAGCTCGCATCTTCTCGGGGGTAAGGTGCTGAGGACAGGCGGGATGGGGGGCGCTGGCAGTGGCCTGCACGTGACCCCTCTGAGCTGCCTGCTCCGCTACCCCCAGGGTCTGAGCCCCAGTCTGAGACGCGAGGCCTGGAAGTTTCTCCTGGGTTACCTCAGCTGGGAAGGTTCCACCGAGGAGCACAAGGCCCATGTGCATAAGAAAACGTGAGTCGCTTTCCCCTGGCACACACAATCTGCGGGAACTTCCCACGGTCCCAAAGCTGCACCTGCAGGCCTGTGCCCACATGGGAGGCACCAACTTTTTTTTTTTTGCTTTTTGCTCTTTGGGTCATACCCGGCGATGCACAGGGGTTACTCCTGGCTCATGCACTCAGGAATTATTCCTGGCGGTGCTCGGGGGACCATATGGGATGCTGGAATTGAACCCAGGTCAGCTGCGTGCAAGGCAAACGCCCTACCTGCTGTGCTATCGCTCCAGCCCCAGCTCCCGACTCTTGACCTCCATGAGGGCCTCTGGCCTTCCTCCTGGTCTGGGCGGAGCTGCTGCCCAGGTTAGGTGAGACGTTCCACCAGAGCCCATGGAGGCTGCGTTCCAGAGACATCTGGGGGCCACAAATAGTACAGTACAGTGGGGACAGTGCTTGCCTTGCACATGGCCGACCTGGGTTCAGTCTCTGGCATCCCATAGAGTCCTCTGAGCACAGCCAGGAATAATTCCTGAGCATAGAGCCAGGAATCAACCCTGAGTACTGCCGGATGTGATCCAAAACCACCAAGAAGGACCCTTAGGTGCGGGGACAGGAATGAGTAGCTGCTCTGATTCTGTCTGTTAACTGCAAGGGACAGTGCTGGGGCTCCTGGAGGAGCCTGGGGGTGGCTGGGGTCCCTGGAGCTGTGCCCCACCTCTGGCTCTCCCGCCCTGCAGAGACGAGTATTTCCGCATGAAGCTACAGTGGAAATCCGTGAGCCCCGAGCAGGAGCGGAGAAACTCCCTGCTGCATGGCTACCGGAGCCTCATTGGTGCGTGGCGGGGTGGGTGGGGGCGGCGGGCTGCTGGGTGTGCAGCTGAGGGGCTCATGGCCTGTCCCCGCAGAGCGAGATGTGAGCCGCACGGACCGGAACAACAAATTCTACGAGGGGCCCGAGAACCCGGGGCTTGGCCTGCTGCACGACATCCTGCTCACCTACTGCATGTACCACTTCGACCTGGGTGCGCCTGCGGCTGTCCGGGCGCTGGGAGGGCATTGAGCGCCCGGGCTGGGGGCTAACCCTGTGTCCCCCGCAGGTTACGTCCAGGGCATGAGTGACCTCCTCTCCCCTATCCTCTTCGTCACTCAGAATGAGGTGGACGCGTTCTGGTGTTTCTGTGGCTTCATGGAGCTGGTGGTGAGGCAGGCGTGCGTGCGTGCGTGCGTGCGTGCGTGCATGTGTGTGTAAGTCCCGGGGTGAGCTCAGGATGTGTGTGTATAGGATGAGTTCCAGATTGTATGTGTATGTTTGTGGGTGTGGGGGTAAGTACTGGGATATATGTGTATGGGGTGAGAGTCCTGGTGTGTATGTATGGGGGTGAATCCCAGGGTGTGTGTATATGTATGTGTGTGTATGTGTGTATGTATGGGGGGGAATCCCGGTGTGTGTTTGTGTGTGTTGGAGAGTCCCGGGTGTGTGTGTTCCAGTATGTGTGTATGGGGGTGAGTCCCAGGGTGTGTATATGTATGTTATGTGTGTGTATGTATGGGGGGAGTCCCAGGGTGTGTGTTTGTGTGTGTGGTAGAGTCCCAGGTATGTGTGTCCCAGTGTGTGTGTGGGGGGGGTGAGTCCTAGGGTGTGTGTATATGTGTATATGTGTATGTATGGGGGGAGTCCTGGGGTGTGTGTTTGTGTGTGTAGTAGAGTTCAGTGTATGTGATTATGGGGGTGAGTCCCATGTATATGTGTGTGTGGCGGGGGGTGATACCCATCTTGTGTGTGTCCCAGCATGTGTACAGGAGTGAGTTTGCATGTGTATGTGTGTGTATGTATAGTGTATGTATGGAGTCCCAGGTGTGTGTCCCAGTGTGTGTGTGTGTGTCTCCCCCTCTGGGGCCACTTCCTAGGAGGGGTTCTGGCTCCAAGCAGCCTTGCCCTTACCCCCACCCCGCAGCACGGGAACTTCGAGGAGAGCCAGGAGACCATGAAGCGGCAACTCGGGCAGCTCCTGCTGCTGCTGCGGGTGCTGGACCCGCTGCTCTGCGACTTCTTGGGTATGGTCAGTGGGTGGGTGGGGCAGGGTCCACCAATGGGGGGGGTTGGGGTTGACTGGTGGGCAGTGCACCCCTGGCTGTGTAGTTGCACTGGCGCTGGCATCTGGACCACTAATGTGTCCAGGTATTTGGCCGTAGTCCAAACAAGAGAAATGCCCCCGCAGGACTTAGATTCCCAAGGTTCCGTGTAAAAGTAGAAGTGTGTTTGGAGCAAACCTCCACTAGTGCGGGCTTGGGAAACCCCCTCTCCCACCTCCCCGCCCCTGTTGCGGGCTGCAGGGGGTGGTGCATTCATGCATCCCTCCTATGCAGATAAACTGGCTTTGGACTTATGCTGCTTTGCTGGGCTCCAGGGGCTGGGATGGCGATCTTCAGACTTTAAATTTGGTCTTTATTACTATTTAATATAAAAACTGCAGGGGACTGCAGAGATCGTTCTGGGGTTAAGGTACAAACCTGCATGTAACTGACCTGGCACTATGTATGTTCCCCAAGTACCAACAGGGGTTACTCCTGGGCACAGAGTCAGGAACAGCCCCTGAGCACGATTGAATGTGACCCAGGGTCGACTCCCCCCAAATTGCGGGGAGGCCAGAGAGCTAGCACAGGAGTGCCTGCAGTTGGTTATGGCGTGCCGGCCCAGGCTCAATTCTGATGTTACACGTGGTCCCCGAGCACTATGAGGATTGACCCCTGAGCCAGATCCAGGTAGAATCCCTAAGAACTGCCAGGTATAGCCCAAAACAAACTCAAAAAAGATTAGAATGCAGAGAATGTAGATAGCAGTGTTTTTTAAAGTTTGGGGCCAGAGATCAAATCCAGAGCCACATCCATGCAAAGCAGACTTCCTCCCACTAGCTCCAGTTCCTGCCCTTAGGGTGAACTAAAAGGAAGGGCAGGAGGTGGAGCCCCAGTCCATCATTCCTTTTATCAAATCCAAGGAGTGAAACCGTATCTGGGCAGTACCAGAGCAGCACCTCTGTGAGGGGCTGGGGAGAGGGCAAAGGACTGGAGCACATACTTTGCAGCAGAGCCCTGGGTTTGGGGTCTGATCCCTGATCCCATGGGGAAGTGTTCCCCCCACCGGCACCTCACTGGGGGTAGCTGAGTGGGATGTGGTCCCAAATCCCAATTAAGAACTTTAAAAGGGGCTGGAGCGATAGTACAGCGGATAGTTTGTCTTGCACTCAGCCGATCCGGGTTCGATTCCCAGCATCCCATATGGTTCTCCGAGCACCACTAGGAGTAATTCCTGAGTGCAGAGTCAGGAGTAGCCCCTGTGCATCGCTGGGTGTGACCCAAAAAGCAAAAAAAAAAAAAAAAAAGCAAACTTTAAAAGATACTTACCCCTTGGGTCAGAGAGGTAGATATGGATCTACCTCAGCCACCTAGTTCCCAGCCTGGAATCCTGAGCACATCCCCCCATGGCTACCCTGCAGATGTGGAGGATGTTGATCCCTTGAGGGGTGGGGAAATCGCCTGAGTGCAGGCTAGTCCTGTGCTTGGTCCCAGCACACACTACCCCCTGCACCCCAGGGAACCTCAGTGGATGCATTTCTCCCATCAATCACTGCCTTGCCTAGGGTGCTTCCCTGGTGGTGTTCTCCCCGCACCCCTTTACAAGAGGGTGGGATATGCCCAGGCTGGTCTCACTCGGGGGCCTGAGCCTTGGTCGCTTCTTCACTGGGCTGTGGCCAGCCTGCAGCCAGGTAACTACTCTCTGTCTCCCCACGGGAACAAAGAGCCCCTCTGGGGAGGGGGCTGGTTTGGAGCCTGGACTTAGCAGCCCGCACTTGCACCCCTGTCCACCTATAGACTCCCAGGACTCTGGCTCACTCTGTTTCTGCTTCCGGTGGCTGCTCATCTGGTTCAAGAGGGAATTCCCTTTCCTGGATGTCCTTCGCCTGTGGGAGGTGGGCCAGTCAGCCTGGCGGGGAGGTGGGGAGGTAGGCACCAGAGGCTGAGTGGTGACGCTTACCTCTGGCACCTGAAGGTGCTGTGGACCGGGCTCCCTGGGCCCAATCTACACCTGCTGGTGGCCTGCGCAATCCTGGACATGGAGCGGGACACCCTCATGCTCTCTGGCTTCGGCTCCAATGAGATCCTCAAGGTGAGCCCCGACTGCCTCCAGCTCACCTTGCGCGGGGCTCACCTGCAGGGGCGGTCCACAGCCCAGCACCTCGAGGTTCCCCCTTGTTAAAGTGGGGAGGTGGGAGCACCTGGGCTGGGAACGTGGTGTCCTGCTTACTTCCTACTGGGCCAGCCTGACTCCCAGCGTGGTGCTCCCTGAGCGTGTAGTCTGTGCCTGTGCAGGGCTTCCTCACCACCGTTTTAGAACTGGGCAGCGGCCGAGAATTGCCTAGTGCTCCAGAGCACCCTGTCTGCCCCCGGATTGAGTGGCACAGGGGCGGTGGTGGCGCCTATGTGCCTAAGCAGAGGGGCCTGACCGCCCACTCCCGCAGCACATCAATGAGTTGACCATGAAGCTGAGCGTGGAGGACGTGCTGACCCGGGCGGAGGCCTTGTACCGGCAGCTGACAGCATGCCCGGTGAGTACCCACCCGTGCGCCCTGCCCCCACCGTGCCGTCTCTGACCGCGCTCACTGACGCTGCCCTCCAGGAGCTGCCCCACAACGTGCAGGAGATCCTGGGGCTGGCACCCCCCGAGGAAGCCCGCAGCTCCTCACCGCCGGCCTCCCCTCTACCGCTGTCACCCACTCGGGCCCCTCCAGCCCCACCGCCCTCCACAGACCCGGCCCCACAACCCGACAGCAGCCTTGAGATCCTGCCTGAGGAGGATGACGACGGCGCGGTCCCTTAATGCCGCGCAGCCACAGCCGGCTCGCACAGGCACTTTATCTGCCAGACTGCACCCCTGACGGCGGGGCGCCCCACCTTAACGACCTCGGGGTCGAGGGTTTCTCCACGCTGGTGGCTGGGAGAGGCTGTCACATGTGCTGGGACCTCGACGGGGAGGCGGGGGGATGTGAGGGTGGCTGGTGGCCCCGAGCTGACCCAGCCTGGCTCAACCCTGATCTGGCCAGTGAGTCTGAGTCCAAAGAGGAGGTTTGCGTGTGTGTGTGTGTGTGTGTGTGTGTGTGAGTGTGTGTGAAGGCGCTTGTGGAGTCCCCGACACCTTCATCTGCCCAGCTTGGGAGCAACGAGGATGGGGTGCATTGCTGTTTGGGGGAAGTATCCGGACAAAAGCCAGATAAATGGGCTGTTTGTGAGCAGAATAAACTCATGTCCAACCGACCCTGGGTCCTGCGCCCATCACTCTGCAGAGCCCGTTTGCAAAGTAGGGGAGCTGCTTTGGGGGTGAGGCGGGGGAGGGGTCGCGGCTGATGGCTCCGCCCCCACTCGGCAGCGAGGGAGTGGACAGGAGCACACACGCTTTCCAAAGGCTTTAATATGAGGTCCCTGGGAGCGGCCGGCTGGGTTCTGTTTCCTCAGTGCCCCCCCCCACTGCCATGCTGCTGCCGCACCTTGTCCTGCCCGGGCACCGCATGGCCCCGCTTCTGTCTGTTGATGGCCACTGCGGCCCGCAGCGCTGACTTCACGGCCGTTTCCACCCAACCATGCGGGTAGGCCGTGTGCTCGCCGGCGAAGTAGATGCGGCTGTAGGGGGAGAACCAGCTGGGCTCCTGGCTTATGGGCCAGAGCCCCGGCGGCTGCACCACGAAGCCGCCCTGGCTGTGTGGGTCGTCGGCCCAGCGCTTGACCACGCCAGTGCCATCCCAGAACTGGTAGACGACGGATCCGTGTAGCATCGCCAAATCATTGAGTGCCAAGCGCAGCGCTGCCTGCACGCTCAGGCCGGCGAATGGGGCCACGGCGTCGGACCACGTGTACGAGGCCAGCAGCAGCGCGCCCTCGCCCGGTGCTGGGTAGAAGATGATGCGCGATGGGCGGTCCGTGTTGGAGTGGCCACCCCGGATGTGCTCCTTATTCCAGAAGGGCTGGGTGAAGCTCAGGTACACCTTGGTGGCCGGCACGTAGTGCAGCGCGCGCAGCGCCTCCTGATGCTTAAGTGGCAGGGGTGGCTTGAAGGTCATGCGCTGAAGCGCCGGCCCACTGACCGTCAGCACCACCGCATCGGCAGCCATGACCTTCTGGTGCTGGGACCGAGTGTCGTCCCTGATGTGCACATGCACTTCCTTTGTTGTCTGCGTTATCCCAACGACCGGCGAGTGCAGCAGCACCAAACCCGATAGCGAGTTGTGCAGCGCACGTGGCAACAGGTCCCACCCGCCCACGATGCGGAGGTACCTGCGGACAGCGAACGGGAAGCAACTGCAGGGGCGTCCCGCCCCTCCGGGCTGCGGGCTGCCCCACAGGTCTGGCCAGTTCCCATTTGCTCCCCTTCCCTCTAAGCTCCGACCCTCGGCCCATCCCAGGTCCCAACTGCTCCCCACCACTCCAAGTCCCGTCCCATACTGGCACGGCCCCCCAGGCCCCTCACCGGAGCTGGTCGCTGAGGCAGCTGTGGGCCCGCAGGGCCTCGGAGAAGCTGAGATAGAAGAAGCCGTCCTTGGACATCACATCACCCAGGAGCCGCACGGCGGGCTGGCTTATATTCCCCTCCCCAAGAAGGTATCCCTGGGGGATGCGGAGGTCCCAGATCAGGACTCTGTCCAGGAGAACCTATGTCATGGAGTTCTCTTTCCTTGTCGAGTATAGTCCCCAGGACCCGGACGCACTACCACCTCCTGCTTCTCCCCTCCATCTCTCCCCTACCCCCCTACCTTTTTGCTTGATTTGGCCACACCCGGCAAGGGCTCAGAGCTTACTCCTGGCTCTGTGCTCAGGGGACCATATGGAGTTCTGGGGATCAAATTCCGGGCAGGTGCCCTATCCACTGTACTATCCTCTACCCCCATGGTTCTTGAGACAAATGAGGGCAGTAAGAGGGCATGGGAGGGGACAGGGAAGCATTGGCAAGGCTTTGATCCCCACAGGCATCCTCAACCTTAGCCAGTGAATTCGTACCCCACTCACCAGGAGCGTGAGTTTGTCAAACTTCTTCATTGCCCTTTTGCACCCCATGGTTTTGACATCTCTGATGGCCTGGGGAGCAGCAAGCAGAGAGCACTAAGCTGGGGGGCCAGGCCTGCAGTCAAACATCCCCACAATGCTGGCCAACCTTCACTCTTGGCTTCCCGCAGCCCAAAGGTCCCTACTATGGAAGGCTGCGCCCCCTGCAGTCTTCTGCTCCCCTGCCTGGCTGGCCCTCAGTCCTCCTCGGGTGCTGGGGCACCACTGCCCCAGCTGCTCTCCTCTGCCTCCACCTGCTTTGCTGTCAATCTCATGTCCTCCTCGGACCACAGCTTCTCATCCTGTCACCTTGTGGCTGGGGAGTGACCCAAAGTTGTGCCCTCATTCCCTCAGCCCCACCCACTCACCGCTCAGTGATGAGGGGGTGCTGTGAGTGGAGGGGTGGGGCAGAGAGAAGACAGACAGTGAGTGAGGATTGTGCTGGGTGGTGGGGAGACCAGTAGGTTTCAGGGTTCATGTTGCTCTTGGGGACTGAACAGTCTGAGTCTCAGGAGCTGGATTTATACCAGCCTGTGAATCTACGCAGAAGTCAAAAGTGTAGACGGCGAGGTGGGCTGGGCCGGAGAGGGCTGAGAAGCCGCCAGAGGCTGCAGATGTTGGGGGGCGGGGGCACTAGTAGGCAGGGCTGAGGGAGGGAACACCCGGCCCCACCTTGCTAAGCGCCATCTGGTAGATCTCCTCCGGTGAGTGGCCTTGCTCCCGAGCCCGCAACTTATAGCCCAGTCTCTCAGGCATCTTGTCCACCACAAAGTTGCGCAGTTTCACCTCCCGCACCTCCGTCCATGCGTTCTCGTCATACTGCATGAACTTGGTGAGGTTGAGGCCCAGATTCCGGCACAGCTGGTGCAGGATTCTGTGCAAAGAGGGTGGGCGGGTCAGAGGCCTGGAGCTTGGAGCTGGGGACAGGGCTGGATTGGGGCGGCTGGGCACTGAGCCAGACACTGAAAAACTGGCAGCATTAGGAGCTGCCAGCAGAGGAAAGTCCTGTGGCCTGGGACAGACATGACCCGGCAGGGAAACGAAGGTGAGCCTGGGGGTGGGATGGGGTTACGCGTGGACACTGCAGGGCTTTGTGGGGGCCAGGTCAGACTGCTGTGCCGCAGGGCTGGAGTCCGGTGTAGGATGGGTGAGGGCAGGGGCCCCTAGGGTCAGCTCTCACCTGTGTGAGGTGGGCATGCGCATGGCACCCAGCTCCCCAATCCAGCCTGTCTTCTTATCCCGATAGGTTAAGATGCGGCCCCCGATCCTACTGTCTGCCTCTAGGACAATGACCTGAGGGCGGGGGGAGGAGTGTCAAACAGGACTCCTCCCACTGGTGCCATCTATCCGAGACTCCCCACCCACCCGAGTGGGAGTGCTGCAGGCCAGGCGACTTGCACACAGGACGTCTAGCCAGATCTGCGGGGAACTTTCCTGCTCAGGAAAAGGGTTTTTCCCAGCCGAACCTCTCAGACTAGCCCATTCATTCTTGCCTCGGGGATCACTTCCTCTTGGGAAGAGTCCCCAACTCCCCCACTCCAAGGCCCCCCCAACCCTCCAGGTGAGTGCGGGAGTGGGGGGTGCCAAAGATCTCTCAACTCCCAGTTCCCTCACCCCAGCACCCACGGGACACCCGTCTCCCACCTCACCTTGTGGCCGGCATCACCAAGCACCTTGGCAGCCACCAGCCCGGCCACACCAGCACCCACCACGATCACCCTCTGTGGCGTCCTGGTTCGGTTGAGGCCCAAGGTCATGACCTTGAGCAGCCATTCATAGTCAGGGTCCTGCATGCACTTCTCAAAGGGATCCCGGCTGTGGGGGGCCTTCCAGTCCAGGGAGGAGACCAGGCTGAGGATGGGGACCAGGGAGAGGAGGTGCCAGGCTGGGAGTCGGGGGGAGGATCAGTGGGTGGGTGGCCTCATGCAGGAAAGTTTCCAGCTCCCCACCCAGCGTCCCTTCCTCTGTCAACTTACCCAAGCGGGCCATGACTCGGAGCAGGAGGCAGTGTCTGGGGTGGAGGGGAGGCAAGAGCCACTGTGATGGGGGGGTCGAGTCCTGGGCCTGCCCCAGCCCTAACCCCTTGGGCCATGGCTCCCTCTGACCCTGATCTGCTCGCCTCCCTCCCACCTCTCCTCCCAGCTCTCCAACGAGCAGCCACTTGCCTTCAGCACCTCTGCCAGCTCCCTTTCTCTCCCCTCCTTGGCCCATTTCCCCCTCCTCCTGCCTACCTGGCTCTGGAGACCAACACTCTCTCTACTCCCCACCTTTTAAAGAGCCCCAGTCTGCCCCGGTCCTTTTGCAACCCACACTGGGGGAAGTGAAACCGCACTTCATCACGGGTGAGACGAAGCTGGAGGGGGCGGCTGATGGGGCAGGGTGTGTTGAGGGTACACAATGGTCTGTTTTTTCCCTTCTTGCCCCTAATAGTTATGGGGCTGCTGGGTGCCGGAACCAAGGGTGGGCGGCTGCCCATCCAAGCAGGGAAGAGGGGGTGCTGCTCAACTCCGGGCTGCATGCTTCCTGTGGCCCTCAAGTGTTGTCTCCTCTCCCCCTCCATGAGACGCAGCAGGAAGGTTCTCGGAACAGAACCAGCTGGCTACAGGAGGGGGCTTTGGGCCTGGAAGAGGTCCTGGGAGGGGCCCAGGACATTCTCGGCCTTCCCCAGCCCTGCAGTCAGAATCATGGCGGCATGACCCCAGAGAACTGAGGGGTGACACCTCAGAGACAAGGCTTTTTGTTTCTGGGCCAGACGGTGGTGGTGTTCAGGGCTATGGGGTGTTGGGGATGGAGGGTAGGTCAGAGACATGGTTTGTAAGATGACGTGGCCCCAGAGACATTCTGCCACCACAGCTGCAGGGGGCCACAGGAACTTAGGGAGAACTTTAGCTAAGGAAATCTGCCGGGGTTCCCGGAATCTGGGACTTTCTCTCCGGTTGGGGAAGAGGCAGCCAGAGGGCGGGCGAACATTCCTTGCAGCAGGCTGGGAAGTCCCCGATGGAGTTCAAGGGGATGTGGTGAGTGGGACAGTGAGTCAGGACACACATGACAGGGTGGCCAAGGAGAAAACTGACCGGCCAGACATAGCTGTGGCCACTAAAAAAAGCCAAGACTACATCTGTCAGGGCAGCCGCACCCTGCCATCTCTCTGGAGGCCTCATGGGTACCTGGGCAGAGCAGAGTGCCGAGGCTGGGGGTGACACGCAGAGCTTGACTGCTTTCTGCTCCCTAATTCTGGTGGACTCCTGATCCTCCATCCCTGGGCCTGCCCAGGGGCCCCTTAGGGCCCCATTTCATGGTGAGATCCCCCAGGAAGAAAGCAGAGAGCGGGGGCAGCTCCCTGGTTGTGCCCATTAGAGTTGACTTGTGGGGCTTGGGGGGTCTCTGGCAGATACCCAGTCTCTTCCATGTGGATACTGTTCAGGGTCTTCCTGGCTCCAGGCACACTCCCAGCTCAGTCCCTAAGCCAGGATACCAGCAGAGCACCTGCTCAAGAATCGGGGACAACGGATGGGAATGGGGAGTTAGCGTCTGGCTCTGGCAGGAGCTACCCTGCTCTCTACTCAGTGAAATACAGAGTCTTGTGCCACAACTGACCATGGCTGCCATTGTGCACCAGGGACTTGGGCACCGTGGCCCTCACTGTCCCCAAGTGCAGTAGGGGAAAATGAGGTGCACCAGCAGACAAGTGTCTGAACCTGCATGTGGTCGAGTACCCTGGATCTAGCCCATGTTTTGTCTTTTGGAGGTGCCTAGGATCAGTCTCCCCACTTTGAGGCCAGCGCTCTACCACCGACTCGTGCTCCTGGTCTAGGGCTGGGGGAACAGCTCAACTCTTGGGTGCCCACCCAGGGCACTATAGGACACTAAGCAGCCTCGTGGGTCTTGACCCACCAGATGCCAGGAAAATGGGTGGGTCTCTCCTGGCTTGGGGACAGCCACCGACACCTCTAGACACTGGCATGTCCGCTACGCTGGCTGAGCACCGTGGGCCTGGAAAGTAGGAAAGAGGCCGCCACGAGGAATCGGGGGTGGGGTGGAGGGTGACAGGCAGGGTGTCATGTGCACCTCTCTCCTGCCATCCGCACTCGGCACATTCCTTACACAGTTGTATAGAAACACACAGGGGTTGGGGCTATAGTACAGTGGGGAGGGCATTTGCCTTAAACAAGGCCAACCCGGATTTCATTCCCAGCATCCCATGTGGTCCCCCACCAGGAGTGATTCCTAACTGCAGAGCCAGGAGCAACCCCTGAGCACCACCAAGTGTGGCCCAAATAACAAAAAAGTAAACAAAGGGAAGCAACACTTCAGCCAGGATCAAGCACCTATGCTGAATTTAGCTCAACCATGACCAATCCTGTAATGGTGTCTTGATAAAAAACAAACACAATTGAACTCCCCCACACCCCATGAGGTTGGTCAGCTTTGAAGCTGGCTGGCATCAGCCGGCCCCGGGAGAGGACTCGGCCTTCCCCAACTTTCCTCCCAGTCTCAGGGCCCGAGGGGACACTCACAGCTCGATGGCCCCAGTGCCCATGGCCTCTTTGGTTAGCCCAGGACAGAAGTCATCTTGGAGTATGTGTGAACCCGGCAGTACTGCTGGCTGTCAGACCAGGTCCAGGTCCTGGCGGGAAGAGCAGGCGGGAGGCTGGAGGGCAGCAGAGCTCCTGCTCATATGCATTTGTTTCCGGAAAAGTCAAATGTATAAAACAGATGAGGGTGACAACCCGGTGCTCTCGTTGCCTCACACTTGTCTTGTCCCATATACATTTTCTCCCTCTTCTGTCGGTCTGTTTTTTGGGGGTGCCAGGGATGGAACCCAGGCTCACGAGACATGTCATCAATGACTTGGCACATCCCCAAGGCCAAGGAAAACTCAGGCTGTTTCTCTGGAACAGGAGTTGCCAATCCTTTCCTGTCAGTATTTGGGGGTCACAGAACGGGGCAGGTAGGGAGAGTGAGGCCTGGCTAGGATCTGAGTGGTTTGGAAGCTTGAGAGCAATGGTCAGTTGGCCTGGTGTGGCAGCCTGTGAGAGCCAACACTTTCAGTTCCAGAAGTTTCAGAAGCCATTGAATATCTTTTATCCAAATAGAGCAGACATCCAGGTGGTGGCACAGTGGGGGAAGGTGCTTGCATTGAACGCAGCTGGTGTGGGATTCATCACTGGCACTGCTATGGTCCCCGGAGACCATCAAGAATAATCCCCGAACAGAGCCCACCGGTGTGGTCAAATCCCCCCAAGCCCCAAAAATTCAAGGGAGTACAGTGGTTAAAATGTTTACCTTGCATGAAGCCAAACCCTCTAGAGACTGCATGTGGTCCCAAGCACCACCAGGAGTGACCCCTGATCACCGCTGGGTATGGCCCCCAAACCAAACACATACAAAAACAAAGTTCAGGATCCTGGTGCTATCCTGCGGGGCCAAGGGCCCGAGTTAAGAGCCCTAGGCTCTGCTGGCCTGAGCTGCACTGCACTGCTGGTGCCCAAGGACTGAAATGGGGGAAGCCCAAAATAAAGTCAAAGACTGGGAGACTCGAAGGGCAGGAGAGCATGGTTTGCACAGGGAGGTCTGGGTTCAAGCCCTAGCAACACACAGTTCCTCAACACTGGCAGGAGCAACTCCTGAGAACCCACGAGTAGCCTCGAAGCAGGTGTGACCCCCACAACAAAGTACTCTGTAAATAAAAAAGGAGAGTTGCCGTATATCCACTTGCCACTGTTATCCCTAAGCTGGGAGAAAGGAAGTTTAGTGAGGAGTCACCTTCAAGAGCCTGATTCCGAATTAGTCACCACATTGCTGTGTCCGTATTAACTAAGCCAGAGAACTTAAGCAGGTGTTTGTCTGCGCTGGTGGGGCAGCGGGCTTCCTTCCTGGAAAGGGAAACTGCAGTTATAATGGAGTCCCTCTCAAACCCCCGGAGGGTGGCACCTAGCCAGCTGCTGCTGAGACCATCAACCTGGGAGCCCTTCCCTCCATTTGCAGCTGTGCCTGAGGAACCACCACCATCCACTGCATGAGTAGACTGGAGCTGCCGTGTCCTTTAGTGGGGCACCCAAGACACCACTGGCTGTGGGGAGAAAGCGCAGTCCTCTAATTTGGTTTTGGGGTCAATCTTGGTGCTTGGTGGCTTGTGGGGTTGGCAGTATGCAAGGCAAGCTCTCTCCTCCTTGTGACCAAACTCACCAGCCCCTCGAATTGTTTTTATTTACCAATGCAGTCACAAGAATGTTTGGCGCCGGATGTTCATCTCTGAATGGACAGGCATGCTAGAAACACAGGCTCAGACCACCTGCCGCAACTACGGGGTCCCCACCCAGCCTCAGCACCAGATTAAGGGGCTTCAAACATGAGGGGTTTGTGTGACACCCCACCCCAGGTCAGAGAGGTGTTACATAAGTGTCTCACGGGGCACAAAGTGACCTTATGGGTGCAGTCAAGTTTTTGAGAAGTCTTTTGGGGGTGGGTCTCCCTCTTCAAGTTGACCTCTAGGATTCTTCAGGGTTTCTGCTGGGGTGGGACCTGTCTGCAAAGCCGAAGGAGAAGGTGGTACCTGATTTTCACTTCTGGAAACGAGAGCACCGGGCTAGACTTGGCATGCACAGACCAAGGGTGCCAAGGGAAGGTCAGGCTGCCATGTGGAGATCTCATGCGATCCACCCTCACTGTGAACACACAACTGTGCATGAAACATCAAGGGGAAAGTGGAGGTGAGTTCTGCCCTCTGCTGAGCAGAGCTTCAGAGGAACCCCACTCAGCTTCTAGAAGATGCCTTCTCCCCACTGCCCCACTGTAAGTCACCCACAAACAGAAGCAATTTTTGTTCCACATTTTTATTTAAGAAAGTGATACCAAGTTCTGGGTATGTGAGTGCAGCTGAGCATATAGATGCTAACACAGGACACTCGGGGTGCACCAGTCGTGCCATGGCGTGGGAAGCTCAGATGGAGTCTGTAGACTCTGGAGTTGTAGCTATTTCACAAATTGGTTAGTATCATGTGAGTCTTTTCTAAGTGAGAGGTACTGTTGCCAAGGATTAAGAGGGAACAGAAATGTCCCCACCCATAGGGTTCCTTATTTAATGTTGAGGCCCGCGCGACCAGAGTGTGGCAAGTGTTAATTTAAGGGGCCAGCTCAGAACAGCAACGTGACCCAGCTTTAGGGCAGCAGAAAGGGCTTCCTCGAGGAGGTGAGACAGGTCTGCAGGAGGTGGCAGCTAGGAAGAGGCCAGGAGAGGTTTTCCGGCTCACCTGAGCCCTGCCGCACCCTGGTTCAGTCCCTCACTTGACCTCCCACCTACTCTGTGATTCTCTATCTTTGCACGTGATTTGCAGTCCACCTGGGTGCTGATGGGAAAGTCTCGCTCACTGCCAACACCCTTGAGCCTTGGTTTCTCTGCAGTGCGCTGGGCAGAGCGGCTGCCAACAGATGGCCAGAGAGGAGTGTGCGAGGAGCAGATGGAAAGGTCGATTGTACCAGAGACTGCTGATGCGAAGACACACACACAGGAGCGTTCTCACAACACGACCATTGGAAAGGAAGAACAAACAAAAATTTCATTGCCAGTGAACCCGGACCCTCCCGCCCCCACAGCCCAGCTCAGTCAAACGTGATCCGGAAGCTGCGCTCCTGCTCCTTGCGCCGCCCCTCGCACACCTTGGTCACCTCCTCCACCTTCCTCTGCAGCAGCGCTGAGTTCTGGTCAATCCATTGCAGTGAATCCATGTGAGCATTGAGGATCTTGCAGATCTGCTGCAGTGGGTCGCTGGTGTCGGCGGGTCCCCCGGACGTGTTCAGGTGCTCAATGATGTCCTTGAGGTCCTGGGCCATGCGCTTCAGCTGCGCGTCGATGTTCTCTGCCAGCTTGTAGGTTTTCTCACGCTCCTCGTCGGCGTGCTGCAGGTACACGGTCCCGCTCTGCTCCTTCACCGACTCCTCCAGTGGGCTCAGCAGGTCTTCCAACTCCTTCTGCTGCGAGAGGATGAAGTCAAGCTCCTGGTCCAGCCGCTTCTGGTCCAACTTCACCTTCTCCACCTCGCGGTGCAGGGTGGTGATCTTCTCACCATTCTCGATCAACGTGCGATCCCAGGCATTGACCTGTGTGGCCTGCTGCAGGAAGTGGCGCTCCTGGTCCTCTAGCTCCAGGCTCCACTTATTGATCAGGCTCTCCAGTTGCGCATAGGTCATCACGGGACTGGCTGACACTCCCGCGGCTGAGCTGGAGCTTGGCAGGGCCTGCAAACTGCCAGAGAGGCCAGCTGGTGCTCCTGACTTCAGGGGAAAGGTGCTGCCAGCAGTGGTGGTGGTGGCTGTGGTGGTGGATGCTGTTGTGGAGGCCACGGAACTGACTCCAGGGGTCTTCACGCTAAAGCCCTGTGTTGCGGCGCTGGGAGTCCCAGCTGAGGTCGCGGTGCCAAGGGAGAGCGTGCTGCTGCTGGTGGTGGCTGGGGCTGGAGCCGTGGCTATGGCAGCAAAGAGCGTAGTTCCGGCACTGGTGCTGGCAGCGGCAAGGGTGGGAACAGCAGGCTGTGTGGTCCCCACTGCTGTGGCCGCTGCTGGTGTGGTTGAAGTGAAGGGCAGTGTGGCAAGTGTTGTAGGTTGGGTTGTGCTCCCCAAGGAGCCAAGAGTGAAACCAGAGGACGCGGTCTGGGACGAGCCTCCACCTGTGAATGAGAAGCCTCCGGGTGTGCTGGAGGGGGCGGCGGACGTGGTCGCAGCGGAGCTGAACACGAAGCCAGTGGGCGCTGGACCCTGGCTGGAGGTGGTGGTGCTGGAGATGGCATTGGTGAGGGTGCTGCCACTCAGCCCGAAGCCGCCAGTGGTGGCCGTGGTGGGGGTGGCCGTTGCATGGCTCAAGCTCAGCTTTGGAATGCTGACGCCCAAGGAGAAGCCAGATCCTCCCGATGCGGGGGTCGAAGTTCCAAAACTGAACCCCGAGTTCTGGGCTGCTGGAGTCTGGGAGGTGAGTGAGAACAAGCTGGTGGAAGGGGTACTTGCAGCTGGCTGGGAGGGGGTCCCAAAATTAAACCCGCCAGTGCCGGTCGTGGAGAAAGAAAACCCTGTAGCAGGGGTGGTCGTCGCCGTCTTTGAAGTGCCAAAAGTGAACCCGCCTGTTGGGGCCCCCGCGGCTCCAAAGTTAAACCCGCTCATGGCTCCAGACTCTGGTGGCAGCAGCTATTCAGGCTCCCAAAGCAGATCCACCGGCGTCTGCGACCTTGGGAAGATTTTCAAAGCAGAGGAAGTTACACGATCAGATGGGGCAGGAGAAAAGCAACCGGGGGCCCAAGAGTGTGGCCTGGAGGTTGTGGGGACCAGGCAGCTCTCATGGCAGCAGGGGGGTGTGGGACCAGGCAGGCACCCTCTTGCTTCCTGCAGTTGCCACACAAACAAGGAAAGAAAGGTCCAGAAATAACTACAGGGTAGAGCAGGCACCCGAACCACCTCAGCCAGATTGCCAGGAACCTGGAAGAGGACCAGGGGAGCAAGGAATGGCTCCAGGTCCTGCTTCAGCTTCCCGCTGACTGACCTCAGAACTCAGTCCTCTGGACAGAGACACGCCCCAGTACCCCACACCTCTCCCCTAAGGGCCTGCAGGACATGTCCCTCTCCGAACAGCAGACCCTAACACCTTTGGCCAAGATGGGCACAAGCCCAGAGCTCCATTGGGGAGCTCTGTGCCCCTGGCTGCAGTGATGGCTTCAAGGAGACACAGCTAGGACCCCCCGTACTCACAGGCACTGGGATCACTAGGCGTGAGCCCAGGCCTCTCCCACAGGAAGGAGGGTCCCCTGCCTGTCCCATCTCCCCACTAGATCTGAGTTAAGGGGCACTGAATGGGAATGGAAGAGTCCCTGGAAAGGTGGGGTCAGAGGTCAGCAGAGCCCGGACTCAAACATTCCCTACAGAAGCAGGGAGAGGGGACCTGGGGCTCAAGAGAACTGTGATTACCAGCGTTACCTGTACAGTCAGCACGGTGGGGGAAGGGACCCAGGTCTATTCACCACCTTCCCTCCCCAATCCAGACTACAGCATCAATTAGATCCAGGTTGCCCACTTGCACCATAAAAGCATATTTCCGTAGAAGCTGACAGTGCCAAAGTGAAGCAAAGAAGAAGAGGAAGAAATGGGGCACACTTCCCGGGAAGGGTGGAGGATGTGTCTGGGCAAGCACATGTGTTCTACCCAGCCGCAGACTGAGGTAATCGGGGCACTGCCATCCACCCCGTCTCAGTCCCACATGCCACAACCAACTGCTGTCACCATGCAGAAAAGCCAGAAGACCCTCCTAGGATTCCCCCAGGCTCAGGCTGTGCTGTGGGCTGCATTCAGTCATGGCCACCAGGTGGGGCTACAACAGCAGAGTTCAAGGCAGGGACAGGCTCCACTGCCCCATCCCACATGGGTTTAACTACCTAAGACTTGGAGAAAGGTGACAGGAGTGATAGGTAACATCCAGCAGGGAACTTGCCTTGTATGTGTCCAAGCCAGGTCCGATTCCCAGCACTCTGTATGGTTCCTGAAGTCTGCCGGCAGTGATCCCTGAGCACAGAGCCGGAAGTAAGCCCTGGGCACTGCTGTGTGAAGCCCAAAAGGAAGACTTGGAGAAAGTCGGGACCAGAGAGAGACAATAAGTAGGGAGGGCACCTGCCTTTTCCACAGCTGACCCAGGTTCGACCCCAGGCTGAACAGTAGCCAAGTTGACCACAAGGAGTAATTCTTGTGCACAAAGGCAGGAATAAACGCTGAGTACCACAAGGTGTGGCTATCCCACAAAAAAAGCCTAAGATTTGGAGAAAAGTTTAATGCGTTCACAAAGATGAAGGGGCTCTGGAAGATTTTTCTCTTCTGCCACCATTAGCCGGGCCCACCTGTAGCAGCCAAACAGACTAGACACTACCTAGACACCCAACAATTTCCTGGGTCACAGAAAAACGCTCTCTATTCCTCACCCCAGGCAAGATGCAGCCAGTCTACCTTCCAGAACACAGATCAAAAGCAACCACACTGGACCACGACCCGAATCTCAGCCAAGACAGTCTGTCAGGATGCTTAAGTAACCCAAGCGGGTTCCAGGGCAGTGGGAACACCAGTGTCCATACAGCAGGTGGAAGGAAGCCTCGTGACCTGAACTAAGGACTTGCCTGGCTGGGAGCAGTGGTAGCCTAGCATCCACCTCGCTGCCTCAAACCCCTCACAACAAGGTTCAGAGGTTGGAGCTCTTTTCTGTGAGAATGCATGGCAGAAACCTCACAGTGCCATCTCAAATTCAAGGCTGTCTCTACTACATATAAGGTGCCCCTAAACAGGGAAGGTAAAGGCCCTCCCGTTGATCGTCGATTTGCTCGAGCGGGCCCAGTAACGTCTCCATTGGAGACTTTGTTGTTACTGTGTCTGGCATATCGAATACTCCCGGTAGCTTGCCGGGCTCTCCGAGAGGGGCGGAGGAAGGTGGCAAAAAGACTCTCTCACTCCAGAGTTGGGGGCACTTTCCTTGCATGCGAAAAACCTAGGTTCAATCCTTGGCACCCCATATAATCCCCCAAGATGCCAGGAGTGATTCTTAAGTGCAGAGCCAAAATTTGGAGAAAAATTTAAACCCTGAGCAATACCAGGTGTGCCCCTGCCCCGTCAGGAAAAAAACCCCAAGTCTATCACTGACAAAGCTGTCTCTGATCACCACCCTCTACTCTGGCTCCAACACCAGCAGGCTCCTGCCAAGAGCGTGGACGGACCTTTGTGTTTCAAAGTCGACAAGGGTGTGTGGTCATGGCTCTTCCCTACCACATCGTGTTACTACAAGCTCTGTTTCCCTCCCTGCGGTCCCTCAGACAACCTCCCACATTACTCTGCCAGGCTTACAGCAGGGCTTGCAGGCGGCTTCCGCAGACCACTGCTGCAGCAGGTCTCTGATCCAAGCCACAGGAATGAGGCTGGCACTCTCGCAGTGCAGAGCCCCAGCAGGAGCACCACTGGCCACCGAACTTGTTGCACCTGAATCTTCCCGGGGAATACCAACTTGTCCTCCAACCTGTTTTTACCTGTGTTTATACTAACAGGCAGCCCTCAAGAAGTATTCTCCTACCACATGCCAGCACCTATGATTACCAAAGTTCTACTGAGCTAATGTACTAACCACATGTATTAAAAAGTCAGAGAGGGGGGCTGCAGCACAGCAGGTAGGGCATTTGCCTTGCACGTGGCTGACCCGGGTTCGATTCCCAGCATCCCATAAGGTCCCCTGAGCACCACAAGGGGTAATTCCTGAGTGCAGAGCCAGGAGTAACCCCTGTGCATCACCAGGTGTGACCCGCCCCCCCCAAAAAAAGTCAGAGAGGAGCTGGAGAGGTAGACGAGCAGTAAAGTGCTTTCCCTGCACACAGCCAACCTGGGTTTGATCCAGGGCCTCATATAGGGTACCCTAAGCACAGAGTCAGGAATAAGCCCAGAGCACTGCTGGGCGTAATAACCCGCTTCCAAAAAAGGGGGGGGGGGGAGAAGGGGAGGAAGGTAGCAAAAATTATCCTCAGCTTACAAAGTCTTAGTATAGGAGAACAAAGTGTACACTGAATGAGTAAAGAGCTTGATTAGAACCTACTAGAAGCCCAAAGGAAGTTGTGACTAAGTGCCTGGGGAACGGGCAATGAGAGTGTCATGGAGGCATGGAAACCCTCCTGGAAGGGGAAGCCATGTTTGAAGAATGTGGACAAGTTATCTAGGAAGGTTAGCTTAGTATCTAATTCTGGGCAAAGGGCTGCTGACATGAATGTCCATGCCATATTAGAAGCATGGGAAAGATGCTCAGTGTCCCAGAACCAGCACAGGAAAGATGCTCAGTGTCCTTAGAATCAGAATTAGGAGACGTCCATTACCAGCCAGGAAGGTCTCTCTCATAAGGTCCTAGAAGTGAGCTGTGGCAACACACACACACACACACACACACACACACACACACACACACACACACACACCCTTTACCCACAGTGGAAACATGAAAGAGTATAGCCAATTTGGAAAAGGTCAACAGTTCCTGAGATGGTGAAAGACCTGGTTACTTGCTATGATGGAAATGGTCTAACATTAGATTGTGGGGGCTGGAGAAATAGTACAGTATGTGGGGTGCTTGACCTGCAGGCAGCCAACACCTGTTCAATCCCCCACCAGCACCACCTAGAGTTATCAAGCCTTGAGCAGTGCCATCTAAGCCACAAAACCAAAACCAAATTACACTGTGATTACACAATTCCAAATGTACTAAAAACCATTTAAATATATATTTTAAATAAATGGTAAAAATTGAAACAGGCTCTAATTTAAAAAGGAAGTCAATGGAATGGCAGAAAGACAGAGAAATCCCAACCTTTACCACCCTCCCTGGTGGGGCAGTGGTCTGCCAGTGTGCAATGGCACCACACTAAGATTGAAGGAGGGGCAGGGGTGAGGGGGAGAATGAGAGAGAGAGAGAGAGAGAGAGAGAGAGAGAGAGAGAGAGAGAGAGAGAGAGAGAGAGAACACACCTGTGCTTGCTCCCCAGCCTCACTCCTGTAATCAACACCAGCTTCCTTGGGGAAATGGTGATGTCAGTGGGGGAGAATGGAAAGGTACAGGTCACGCTGAGATAGAAACAGTTGCCATGGAGACAGTTTCTCTGTGCACTAGGTAGGCAGAGGTGCAGGGAGGGGGGAGGGGGGATGCCGTGAATGGGGACCAACCATAGCCCCTTATGACCTCCAATACTAATATTCTGGGCATTTATGTAGTGTGAGGCAAGCCTGTTTACAATACTTTCCCCACAAAGTGTCTTTTTTGTTTGTTTGCTTTTTGGGTCATACCCAGTGATGCTCAAGGGTTACTCCTGGCTCTGCACTCAGAAATTACTCCTGACAGTCTAGGGGACCATATGGGATGCCAGGGATCAAACTTGGGTCAGCTTCATGCAAGGCAAAACACCTAACAGCTGTACTATTGCTCCAGTCCCAACAACATTAATTTTTAAAGGGATAGGTGTTGGGCTTTGACTGAAACCAAACATAAACAACTTTGTAATTGTCTCACAGTTGTGATTCAATTAAAAAATACTTAAAAAAATTTTTTTTCTACAAACAGGGCTGGAGCGATTGCACAGCGGCTAAGGCGTTTACCGTGCACGTGGCCGACCAGGGTTCAATTCCTCCACCCCTCTATCGAGAGTATCTTGCCCGCATGGCAAAGCCTGGC